CGCCTATTTTTTTGTTGTTGAAAGGAACGCTTGAAAACATTTATAATAGTAACATAGTTTTGAGAAACTCGTTGCGTGTTGCATTTAAACTACAATAGCACGGTATATGTATAGTAAAACCTGGATTAGGAACCGAAAATTGGGACTGGAGCCCGGGTAATTACCGATTAGAGGATTCGATACTAAATATGCAGTTGTTTCTCAATTTCTAAATTTCTAAATTTTCAAAAGTTTTTTACGTTTATTCACCGATCGAAGGAAATATGCGTTCATCGTCGGTAGTTCTAGTGTTAATGGAAAATGGTAGCAGATCAAGCATGATATTACGAGGACACTTTTTGTTTTGAAACTCTGCCGTATGTAGGTTAGGTTTCCAAGTTCTCTACGCATATCTACATTTCACGCACGGCCGCCTCGTGATCGGTAATTCGAAATTTACGAACGAGTGAATGAAATCGACGGTTACGATCTCTCTCTATTATCATAGGACATTCACAAGGGTCGCAAAAACCACTGTAAATACGTTGTTAGAAGAATTCCAATGTCACGTAGCAACAGTGCGCGCAGTTTTGTCGGCCGTCAACGACGACCGCGCTATGCGACATACGAGAGGCGGTGGCGGCGGCAAAGTTCCGATAACTCTTTGCACAACGAAACAATCAACATGACGTTCCAATTTCGTCACGGAATTGAGTTTCACCGTTGTATCGATGTGTATCGATCTGTGCCGAGCAATTGGATAATGTCCATCGATCTTTGAATTTACCTGACGCGCAGCGGTTCTCAAGTTAATCACACGCTCAGAATTCATTGGAAATCGTCTAAAAATCCTAATTTCTGTTTCGTATAATTCACATTTCTAAAGTTGAAAAAAAAAAATTTTTTTTCTAATTCTACCAATTGTGTTACACAGGGTTCAGACTCGAAAATGGCGGCAGCCAGTGTCCGTTCGGTTTAATCTCAGATTAATTCCATCTAGATTCCGCGCGCAACACAACACGACCGACGCCCGAGCATAAATCCGCGGGGCTTAGCAAGAAAATTCATGGTCAACCAGGAGTGTCCCACTTTCCGACAATGTTCGCTGTAAGAGTAACATGTCGACGTCTTATCCGGCCGGCGATGTAGGCGTGCAGGCATAACGCATTCTCGGTAACGCGCTACTTCACTGAACAAACATGCAAATTCCCGTGCATCGTGTATAATACCGAGGGGACACGGCTAAGAAGAGCGGCACAAAACGAAGAGGATCGCGGTGACGCGGGTAATATACGCGAATGTGTAGAAGAGTAATGTGTACGATCGGTGGAGATACTAGCCCGAATGCTGGTAACGAGTCGAACCTTCTTATGAATTGATAATTTCAAGTATTTTTCCTTTTTTTCTGGTCAAGTTTTGTATTACACATGATTTATGCCGAGATGTGCATTCAAACCTGTGACAAATAAGACACCTAACGAGGAAACCAGTTTTTCTTACATAGAAATAAGCATCGGGAAAAAAGTGTATTTTTCTTTAGAATTGACTCTGAGGTGACACGAAAAATGACTGTACCTAAGTAGCTGCCATCTTTCGGGTTTCTTGGATATTACGAACGATGGTAACCCCTCCCCCCATACCCGCTCTGTGTCAATACATTGAACTAATACGATGTCGCTATTTGGGAAGGTAAGCAAACAGGTTTGTGGACCTAATTGTGGTACATTGTTCCACTTTTAAAATTGTACAGATATAGCGAACCTTTATCTAGCGTAATGCAGACAGACACGACACCCGATACCAAGAATTCCCGGTACACAAGTCTGTTGCCTGTGTGTCCAACGTGTTATTTGAATAAACAACGATGTAAACGGTTACTTCGACACGTACCAAGCGTCTCTAGAGAAGCTCTTATTTATGAATACGAAGTGTACGACACGTTGACGTAAACAGCATAATTAATAATAACTAGAAACTTTAACAAAAACGCCGCATAGACGCAGAACCGATGTACAATATCGTGAATAGATTCGAACACACGCTTTTGTAGAAATGTGGAAAGTTCAATGCCGAGTTTAGATGATTTATATCCGCGAGTGGATGTCAAAAGACGCTGCGATGTACCTGCGTCCCTAGCCAAATCGCTCTATAAATGCACAGGCGTCCGAAGTATTAATTTGAAATTTTTTATGTTAAATACTGTACGATACCCAACCATACGATTTTTACTACGTATAGTAACGTCCCACATGTTACCGACTCATCACTCATTCACTAGGGAACTATGTATTCTATTTATATAATTTAAAAACGTTAAAATGTACAGAAATCACATCGTGAAATAAACGTGGTTTTTGGTTTATTGACCTCGAGTAAATCGAAACTGTTTATATAGTATTCGACGGATAGCAATAGGGTCCAGTACACTAACTGTTCTACAAACATAAAAAATCCCAAGGTAGGCTGAGTTGGATGGTTTCTCTTGTCCAGAGGTGGCTTACCGAAACAGTTCGGGAAACGATGGTCTTAAACTCAGGATCACAGACGACGGTTATCCTCCTATAGACGGTATTGCACGTGAATCCTGAAGACACTTAACACGCGTGACGCAAGCACACATAAGTCGTCACAAGATCGCGACCCGATAACTTCGCGAAGTCCGCGAACGGCTCCGGTGCCATTCGTGCGACGGGAGCTAATGGTTGCGAGACGATACCCGTAACGATCGTTAAGGACAAACTTAATAATAGTAGCCGGATATTTACTATAGATCGCGAGTCCGTCCAATTGGCCGGTCAGAAACGAATTCATGACTCGCGGCCACTTTGCGAATATATCGCGCGAACGTCAAGCCAAACCGTCGCGAAACAACAGAGCACTGAGCGCGCGCGACACACGAAACCGACTCGTAATACACATTGCAGAGAGAGAGAGAGAGAGAAATGATGATCGTAACATGCGGTTCGCCACCCGTCGATGCATATCGTGTGTAAGCACCACCACTTATCGTGCTTTTCAATCGGGAATTATAGAATTACGTAACACGAACACGATAATTTTTGGTTGCACCGAATTTGTCCAATTAAACGCGATGATATAAGGATCACATTATGTACACGTATTCGAAGACGTGTACATTAATATAAATGGATAGACCGCAGAGGATCGTGTGAAAAAATATTTTCTTCTCATGCGAAGTACGAACCAGGGTCCTTGAGATTAAAAGTTTAACATGCTAACGATTTCGCCGCCGATTCTTATCTGTACTTTACTTTCAGTATTTATTTCACCTCGAGCTCGAGAGACTTCACTGTGAGAAATGTTATTTTTTTTTTAAAACTCTATGATGCAACTACTAGTTATTATACTTTTAAATGTATGTTTTACTTGTGCAGTAATTATCGTATTAATCCTCGGGTGTATTTCAGTCGACTTCCTGTTCATGTAAATTGGGATTATTTTGCATCGAGCGTGTTTTAACAGGTAAAGTCTCGTGAAAATTGTGTACACTCGGTATTATGGCGATTGACGAAACGAGACTGAAACGGGAATATACGGAGTTTTAACCGTACAAGCAGCATCGTAAATAATAAAAAAAACAAAAACAAAATACGAACCGTTTCGAGTCTCATTGTCATTATCTGTGCAGCATTGGATTTCGATGATTTTATATAATCTTTCCCGGCTGACAAAGTGCAGCAAAACAAACACAATCTTCTCGACTATAGAATTTCGCTGACTCGACGAAATATAATGAAGTTAAGTTAACGAAGTCTCTGGTCATCTATAATTGTACCCATAATTCATTGCGCGAAATGAACATAAATAATTCACCCACTACCTTTTGTTTTTTTTCCATAATACCTGTTACTTTGGGGACAGACATTAGAAGATATATTGTTAGAACGAGAAATTGCAAAGGAGCACAACGAAGCACACGGTACGGCGCAGGATTACGTGTATCGCAAAGGCAAATGTCGGAGGAGTTTCCCTTTTTGTTTACATAACACAGAGTATTCGTTATGCATAGCGTCACTTCGCTGACCATGCAATGTGCAACCACCGAAAACACTGAATTTCCCAACAGAACTGAAATCAATCACCGCAACGTACGGTTTTTTCGACACAAGCCGCCCATAACTTTGGAAATCACCGGTCAAGGAGTAGCCCGACAAGGAATGCCACACATCGCGAGGATACGCGGTTTACGTGCGCAGGATATCGCAACCGACCAACCTAACCTAATTTATCCAAACGGTGCTAGTCGGAAGGGATAATTTCGCTCACCTTGTCACGATTTGGCGCCAGGATAATTCAGTCGCGTTCGTCCGTCAAGGAACCGCCTTGATTCACCCAAACAATGTCTTCTAGCGTTCACCGACCCATTCTTTGCACGACATCCTCGTTCCGGCCGCAGGGACGCTGGGCTCTTGAGCACACACGCGGTAATTCGTTCCTGCCGAATCGCGCGTCCGTGACCGAATCGTATTTGAAACAACAGACATCACAAAACGTGAACCGTCCCCGTCCGAGCGCGTGAAACGATGCTCGCCGATCGACAGCGGTGTCACGAATGCGACTCGCTTTTGTTTACTCTCTCCGGCTCATGACAGCAGGTGGCGCAAGGAAAGGTGGGGGATGGATTTTATGCGTCCTATGGTTAATTCTTCCGTCGCCTAATTGAAGTATCGGTACAATAATATATGTATACCTGGGGATAAGGGTCAGCATAGTCATTAAATTCATGAAAAAAAATTCAGCAATTATTTTTCAAAGATTAATTATCAGTACTATCAAAATGAAACATGTGTACAGGTATTAATAAAAAATTGTTTATGAAGAGTCCACTTTGTCATTAATTATACTGTTCCTACCGATTATATCCTCGATGAATCGTAATCTATTAACGATAACCTTTATTTTACTATAACAAAAAGAAGCTATGTTCTTATCGCTTTGGAATATTAGTGCATAAATAAATGTTATAATTGCTCGTAACGACGATTAAATAAATGCGCTAGTATTGTACAAACGTAAATCACCGTTTATTTGCAATTTATTAACATTTTCGACATATACGGACCGTCGAGTTCGTATCCCATTTTTCTGTAATAGTTTCGCGTTCCAACGCCTGGAAAAAGATGTAATAGTTTTCTTACAATACCTTCGTTATCATATTACATATTTCAATTAGAGTAGAATGTTTCGATAAATATATTTTCGTAAATGTTTCCTTCGAAAATATCTGTTTCTACCTGATATGACGGAAATTTTATGAGATTGATGTTCCTCTTTCGCTATACGCTCAGCTTCTTCCATTAATAACATACCAAAACCTTGATGCTGAAACTTTGTGGGATCCCGAGCGTTTACAGGGACCACACTGCCGTATACATGAAGCTCTCTTACTATTGAGCACTTCTCTTTAAGTTCTGGTCTGTAGAATGCGATTAATTATTGTAATAATCGATGTAATCACTGCGCGATTTTCAATGAATAGTTTACCTAAAAGTTTCATTGGAACATTTTCGCAATCTTAGCAAACCGACCAAAATATCCTGTGTAGGATCCTCGTAGGATAAAAATGTTTCCCAGCCACCATTGGCAACATAATCGCGCCGTATCAATTCTACTTCATACGGTTGCACTTTATGATGAATTTCCTGTATACCTACTTCCCGAGTTCTCACGTCGCGACAGTCAGTACCTAAGTCCTTCATTCTTGCCAGCGCTAGTTCACGCAGATTTCCATGTTCTACCCCAGAACTGTATATGGAATATTTAATGAAATAAGTGTGCCCATAAAATATTTACACTGTAACGAACAGACTGCAGATGTTTATGCGAGTTCTTCAGATTGGAAAAATATTTTGTACCTGACTAAAGGCATAGGTATATCCCTTTGCACGCGATAAACACGAGTCCAAGGCGGAACAAGAGCCAATATACGAGCTATAAGATCAATTAGAACGCTAGGCGGGTAGCTGTTATATCTTCCAGTTTTCCACAGCTCGTACAAACCTGTGCCTCGAATAACTAATGTTGGATAAATTTTTAAACCATCTGCCCTGAATGCAGGGTTTTCGAAGAATTCCTAAGAATACAGAAATCTCCAAACAATTTTTAACATACTGAATAGATAATCCATTAATAAGAACTATTACGCACAATGAATTGATTAACATCCCTCTCGATATCCACATTTGGTAAATCTGGCATCATATGGGCTATTACTTTAAAACCAGCATCTTTGGACATCTGAAAGCTCTCGCACACTGCACGCACAGTGTGTCCCCTATTGGTATCCCTTGCTACATCTTCATACACAGACTGTACACCGATTTCTAAACGAGTACACCTGTGACACATCATTTTTTGCAATTTCTTTTGCCTATATCTTTTTGAAAACTACTTTAGAGTGTACATACCCATAGCGTAACATGTCAGAAAGATGTTTCTTAAGGCAATAATCTGGCCTTGTTTCTATGGTAATACCAATGCATTTTGTTCGACTTCTCTCAGAATATTTCACTGCTTCGTCAATATTACTGCTAACATGTCCAGATAATGCATCATGTAAATTTCGAATGAAGTAATCTCTGTAATCTTCTGGTAGGGACATGAAAGTACCCCCCATGACAATAAATTCTATTTTATCTACACTGTGTCCTAATTGTTTTAGCTGTAACGAATTATCTTAACTAAGTGAAGAAAGTATCATTAATTCTAATAAAAGTAATCCACCTCATTTCACCTGTTCAATACGATGCCTTGTTTGCAAGAATGGATTGTATCTTGCACGAATGGCTCTCATGGATGTAGGCTCGTAACCAGTATATGATTGTGTTGAATACTCAAAATCTGAATCTGGTCCACCAGGACAATATACACAAATATTTCCTGTCATGTTAATATGGGGGCATCTGTGTGGTTTACACATTACAGCTACTACAGCTATCTACAAACATCATGGGATATATTATGAACTCAAGTATAATATAGCAATAGCTTTGCTATTTATGATCTTCTATGTAAACCATAAGATATTATAATACTAACTCCACTAGCTGTCCTAATAGGTTTGGCCTTCAGTTTTGGTACTAATATATTTCTAGCTTCCAAAGGTACAGCCGCTATGATGTCAACTAATCTGGGTGAACTGTCTAGGCCATATTTCGAAGCGATTCGGGTTTTTAATTTATTTAAATCCACATCCCTGTTTTCATTGTGCGCTTTCAATAATTCCTGTATAATTTCTCCGATTGTCATAACCATACGTTCCTCTTTACTCTCGTCGTATTCTAATAATACATAAGGGTTAGTAACGAGATGGTAAATTGTTTCCTAAACAAATTACACGTAGGACATTATTTACCTTTTTTCTTTCGAACCATGATGATATATTATAAAAATAATCCTAGAAACAATGAGAGTTTAACCAATGCCTTGTTTTATCAAACTTTGTTATTATTATGAAAATATTTAGATATTTAGGTTAACCCAATTGACACGGCACGTTTTCATTCGTTATGACCGACGATGTATAAGAATAAGACCTTTCATCTTATGGGAATTGGCGGCCCACCTAAACTGTAGTTCCGACACCTTAAAAAGCCTGTGATGTTAGTGACCTCTACGTTATGACAACGGTAAATTTACGGTGGATAGTTACACTAAAATAGAAATGGGGTAATGTAACCCCAGAAAAGTGGACCGGAAAAATACATTGGATGAAATCTCGTCTGTGGTTACATATATATTTTTGACCCTCTGGTGCCTTGAGGTACGAACTAAAAGCACCTGGAGATATGCAACCTCCCGTACTACAGTGTCAAGTGTATACAATAGACACTCGATAATTTCAGGTTCGTTACTTGATCACTGGGAATGCCCCTCGCTCGCTTCCACGCACAATACGTAAGGTTACATCGCGTTTAATTCGCATATCTAGAAAGTGCGGTGTATATATTATTTATATACTTTTAGGTATTTTTAGTTATAATTAATTAGACATTCCGTATTATGCTTCATTTCAATATAAGTAGTTATTACAAACTCAAGCCAATTAGCTCATACTATTTGTTATATAAGTCGTCAACTCGTAGGTGATTATGATGGCCAATTATATACCAAATAATAATGATTGCTCAGGTCTCACCACGTGGAGGTTGCTGCGAATGGAGACCCACCCCCCATCGCGCCTACACCGCCCCACCCTTTGAGCTTTTTGCAACATTTCCCCCAACGAATCTAGTTGTTGATTTAATCGAAGCAGCCCCTAAGATCTTTATATGAAGAGAAGTCTTCACGTGAACTTCATATTAAATGAGAGAAATCTTCGTATGAAGTTCATGTGAAGCGTGAACTCATCATATATGATCATCAAATGAAGAGATGTCTTCGTATGATGATTTCGGAAACAGAACCTGAAAGGATAAGAACGGAGCATTATTATTAGTACAACGAAACATTATTATAGTTAATAGTACATGTATTATAAAATATCTATCTACATATTGTGTTTTCTATCAGCTGGCAATAGAAGCAATAAACAATTCATGACCAAATGGTAATCATTAAATAATATCATCAAAAAATTACCACGACGCTAACTGTTAAGTGTCTATTTGAGTTTACAGAAATGGACGAATTACAACATACAAGGCAGGCTCGAATTAAGATTGTTTGTGGCCCAGGGTTATCAGATATCCGGGAGCCTCTTGGTTAAAAAGCAGGGAGAGGGTTGATTTTTTGTAATACAACACAACAATATACATAAATCTTAAAAAATTGAAATGTATTTTAAATAAAATTAAATAATATTTAATCATAACGAAATGGAAGGTTCAGAACGGGGGCCCCCCTGGAACACAAGGCCCAGAGTTACAGCCCCCCCACCCTTCATCCGGCGCTGATACAAGGCGTAAAGCCTGGTAATTTTAAGGGGGACAGCGTAATTCTTGAACAACAGGTGCTTAACGTAGGTGTAATATATACGTAGGTCGTGAGGGACAGAGAAGGAGAATGCGTGGGCGTTTGTTGCGGCCCACATATAATTCGCGATCCAAATAAACGCTTTCCTGAAAATTCTCATCGAAAATCAGAATTCGGGGTTTGAAGTTCTTAAGTCACTCGTGACACAGGGCACGGTAATAATATCTACGGCCTGTTGATTGTGTTTCTCTATTAGTGTAGATCTGTATTATATCGTTCCCACTCTACTACGTTCCCGTTCCCCTCTAGCGATGAGATCGATCCTTTTCCCGTGAACTTCAACGCAACGAACTCCGTGCTCCCGCGCCCTCGAAAACTTTCATTACGACTTACGTATTTGCTTTCCCAATAACTAATTACAAACAAATATCTAACAAATTTTTTTCTGTAATTTTACCATGGACTCTTACAGTAGACCCTGAATGGAAGCTTACTCTGCAACAAATGAAACTATTTTCAATTAATTTATGGCCCTTTGCTGACATACCGATTACGTTAGAGGTACTATACCAGTGCAACATGAATGACGTGTAGGTCGTTGAACTCATCTTGACGCAGACTACCACATCGCCTTATAAAAAATACATGTTAACATACCAAAAAATACGATGACCTTGAAGAAACCGTTAAAATGACCTTCACAGGATTTTTTTTATCGCCATCAGACAAACACCCTGTACATGCAAGGTGTCCCAAAATAGTTGTAAGTCCTTGAAAGAGGTGATTCGAAATAATTTTTTCCTTAGCGAAAAAGTTCTATAAGGTTTTGTTAACGAGATATCAACGAAAAACTTCGACCAATCACAGCGCGAGTCTACCAGTCGAGCTCCCGCGGTAGTGTTGGCTAACAATCGCAGCGCGTACATAGCTAATGCTACCGCGGATGCTCGGCCGGCAGACTCGCGCTCCGATTGGTCGGGATTTTTCGTTAATATCTCATTAACAAAGCCCCGGAGAACTTTTTCGCTAAGGAAAAAATTGTTTCAAATCACCTGAGGAATCACCAATTTCAAGGATTTACACCTATTTTGGGATACCCCGTGGATATACCTATATCCTGATCGTCGCTGATAAAACGGTCGTTCTCAAGGTCCTGGTATCACGAGGGTATTGGTCCCATCACTATTCACATCCCTCGGTCGCCTGGCACCCGGCATGTGCGCGGCGACAGCGGTGCAATCGATTCCGTTCGTGGGCCAACGCATGCCCTCCGCCTCGTTCGCCTCTTGCGCTGAACGACGACGAGAGACAGAGAATAGTCCAGTCGGTGGCATTGCTGCGACACAATAGGACGTGGCGCGTGCGATGGTCTAAAGAGACTGATTCTACGTTTGTTCCCGATCCAGCGAACACCCCGACGAAAGTGACCAATTACGCTCGCGACACGGTACATCGAGGGCCGGGAGGATGTATTGAAATTCCGAGAATCTCGACGGACGCGCGGTGTCACACGCCCAAGGTAGGCCGATATGTCATGTGTGTCCTGTCGAACGCCGCTGCGAAGTGCCACGCAGTTGGCAGGAGTGAGTGAGATATAGGGAGGAGAAGGGATGGTAAGGGGGAGACAGAGAACGTGACTACAACCTGATGCTTCGGGGCGGGAAAAAAATTATTCTCGGGACCACATATCGCCGTGGATAATCGGTATCTTTCTTTTTTTAGAAATTTCTTCTGAATAGCTTCGTCTTTGTGGAAATGATTTTAGAGAGAAGTCGAGACGGATTGATGAAAAAATAACAAAATGCTGTTACTGTTTGCTGCGGGGCGTAACGGATCAGTTGTGTGGCCAGGGAAGAGGTATAATTCAGGGTGTGGATATACGGATTACCGTAAGGTTTCGATTTCGGATTGCAAGCTGCTTCCCGGTAATCATTGCGCGTGGGTAAATTATGCGGTCGCGTGTGTCCGTTTTCGGAATACATGTGTGGATCGTGATTGCGTAAATCCGACAGATTTGTACCGTTACGCAAAAGCATCGTACCGCGCCCTTTAAAGCGTTGCTCGGTCCATTGCATCCCCCCTGCCGAGTTCCACTGAATTATTCCGGGAGTTATGCTGGGCAGCATTGCCTGAAGCTTATTGCGGTATCCGTATCCTTCAAACGCCCTGGGAACTTATGTGTGTGCGCGCGCGCGGAGATAATTTAATCGTTCCAGTAGGATGCTTAATATAATGGGGAATATCTGAAACAGATTCCGAATGTTTATGTATGTCAATTTCCATTGTAGAGGTGTCCTCTGAGTCCTAACGAATGTATCCGGGAGCTGCTTATGAAGTTTTAATGTTTTCTACTTTGCATCCGAGAGTGGTTTTTTTTTATTGAAAGAGTTGGACTTTCTGTGATGGGATTCTTAGAAGGTGTTGGCTGAGAATACATTTCATCCCACGGGATGGAAAATTCTGTAGCCTATCGGCCAGGTTGTTCAAAGCAACGAAGCAATATGGTAGAATGTGAATGAAGCAATTAGAAGACTTTACCATTATTCAGAAGAATCAAACGAATGGTCAGGGTTGAAATCAAGATAATGTCTTAATGTGTTACTTATACAATGAAGATTCTGAAATGTCGAGTATGTCTTTGCGATCAATAAACTTACTTTACTGAACGGTTCCATGACCATGTTCAACAAGTTGCCTCAGTCTGGTTACATAAAGTATTGAATCTGTTACTGATAGTATCCAACGACGATACATAAACATAGAGAGTAATCTATATTATTTTCAACTGAACTAAAACAAATTAAGAGATGTACCCGGTGGAACTCTTAAATGGGGACAAGTTTCTGTTTTACTGTTTTTTAGTCAGTTCAAAAGAAAAATTTGAATTTACATAAACATTCACGATCTGATTGTAAGCTTGCAAACAACAATATTGCAAGCGTTTTATATACCCGTGGTTCTAATCCGTCCACGTGCCGCGTTTCTTCCCAGAAAGAGGGTGTTAGCTGGATGAGGCAGAGGATAAATTGGTTTTATTCCCTTTCTTTATCGAGCCGGAACATAAATTAGATGCACAATTCTAGGAACATCTATGGGCCGTAAACGGTGGTGGTGTGGGGGCTCGGAGCTGCTGGTGCTCTTTATCCTCCATCACGTTATTCTGGGCGACGGTGATGTCGGTGAGTACAACGATTCACACCATCATTCCACCTCATGGATATAAAGAACCTTCTCCACTTGAATCGAGTGCAGAAGCCCCGTAAAATCGTTTCACGGATCTTCCAAACGTTCTCGGGATCAGCAGTAAAAAATATGAAAGTATTTTACGCCTCTTCGTCTGGATTTTATTTTGTTTTTGAACGGTAAAATCGAAAATATTAAAATACGAACGAAATATTATTCACTAAAAATATATATTAATAATTTTTCAAAATGCTGAATAAGTTCGGGACGATAATCGAGAGGAGTCTATGTATAATATGTATATGTACAGGGTGTTTCACTTAACACGATCACTTCAATTACATACTCGTAAATTATTGACTGTATGAAAAAATATTTTCAACAAAAATATTATATTTTTAGCAAGATATAACGATCATCTTCAATCTTTTTAAATGGAATGTTCAACATTTCTCCCCGAATTTCGATAAAGTACAGTTCTGAGATATCAGTAAGTTTTTGTAAAATATTAATCAGATTCACGTGTAATAATTTGGACTATATCTCTTTATTACTATTAATTAATTATTAATAAATAATTACAGCCAGTAATTTACGGGTAATTGAGGTGGTCACGTTAGAAGGACCACCTTGTATAACTTACGAGTTACACTGCGAGTAGTATAGTCCGTGAAAAGTCAGGCTAAGCGGTACACAAGTACATTCTTCAGATTGCTGTATATTCGGGATACTTTTATCCTGAAGAATTTGCCCGCAAAAATTTCAGATTTACTGGGAAAACGTATTACAATGAAGGATATGAAAAAGCTTGCGACGAAGGGCTACTCGCAGTCGGATGAGTCAGAAGCCGTGAACCGGATAAATGAAATTTCTCCTCGTTGATTTCATATCTCTTAGATGCCTCTATTCCCCTGTGATCGATGTCTCCGCGAACCTTTCATTTTTCCGATCTGTACGTTCTCCCTAGCCTTCCTTCCACACACGGAAAAACGCTTCCGTGGATGAGAATCGTTTGGGGGGAACCACTGAAAATTTCTTTCAAAACCACTTTCTTTCGACAATGAATATCATAAACTTTCGAAAAATTCTCTCAGAAGACACTTACGTAAAAACAGGAAAATCAAAAAGTTTAGCTTTCTTTAATTTTTCACATTTTTATTTTCGTATATTGTGTCTTGTGCGATTTCTCCTTTCATGGGCATGTTTTATTATTTCAAACGCTATTTACGAACTGATAAAAATTGTTTATAACATTGGAAATTAAATATTTTTTTATTATCCAGTGATTGTGTGCCACTATACAAAACGGTCCTTTGATTCAGGTCTGCCTCTTTAACCATCATTTGTGGAGAGAAACACACACATGATTACAGTGAATCATCGATGAGTGTTCGAAGGATCCTCGACACTGAGTGTTCAGACGTCATCCCCACCACTGGGCGCTTGACTGGTTCCACATGGGACGCCCAGTGGTGGGGATGACGTCTAAACACTCAGTGCCGAGGAGGCATCGAACACTCATCCATGATTTACTGTATATAATGTATACCGTATCTCATATAACTATACACAATCAAACCGTTCCCTTAACTTTATCAACTTATATTTTGAAAATCACTTATCCTCGACATATGGCCTCTTTGGACCTTTTTCTCCTCTTGGCGAATAGAAACATTTTGATGTGAAACAAAAATTTTACATTAATTTTCAATGTATATAAACAATATTGTGGTACGTTCTTTTTACAACTGTTCATCCCCCTGAAGTCATGGTCATCGATTTTTCCGCACCCTTTACGTGTTTCGTGCGGGACACGCTCGAAAATTAGTCGCGAGTTAGCCGATCTGCCGTGCGTGTGAAACGTAATTATCGATTAACGGGTTCGAGGAAATGGTAGGAGGAAAGTAAACCCCGTTGTTCCCAGTGAGCTTTCTCGAGGAGAATCGATCGGACGTAATGAACTGAAACGCACGTCGAATAGTTACCCGGTCGCGGATAAATTGAAAGCTTCGATTTCCTTCCTTACAATAACGGCGTGGAGGGACGATTAAAGCGGAGGGGAACCCTCGTGTAAGTTTTCATTTGCTCGAACTTTTCTCGATACAAGAACTTACTGGAAAAAGTGTATCGACGATATGTTTTCATGATTCTTGGCTTTGAATGAAACACAGTTCTTGTACGATACATCATCGCTAAACCATGAATGCTTATACGGTTTCACATTGAATCTGGTTACTAATAGAAAATAATAATTGTTTAAAACCGAAATTACCAAATATCTGATTGTATCAGGAGGAAAATAACAACTGTACCAAATGTCGATCATTAAGATTAATAAAGAAATAATAATCTACAAAAGGGTACAGTTGATCTAATAACAATATATACATATATGTATATTCTTAGTCCCTAATGTAAACCGTACGCTTTCCATTTGCACGCAGATTGCCCAGTTTCAGGCATTCTCGATCTCGAATCTTCAACTCTTAATAACTCGAAAACCAAGCCTTTAACACAATTTCCTCACAATTCGACACGTACAATCACGTACAGTATGGAAAAGATATATAAATTTATCAAATCTGCAACATCTCTAGTCATTTTTGCTTGGTTGGCGTAACAAAAGCAGTAAATGTAAACTAACCTCTTTGTTTTTTCCTCAATCCTCTGGATCCTCGGGTTACATCCCACAGCTTCTTCTTTTTACATAATGAAGAAATGGCAGACAAGAGCCTGTGCAGCAACCAAAATACTCCTTGCCATAGAAGATCTTTTCTTTTCGTGTCGAATCAACAAGGGGATTGCCAGCGTTAATTGTCCTCCGAGGGGACAATCGTTTTTCTGATATCAGTTTCCCCGTCAAATGGATATATTCACTGCAAAATTCAAGGTCATCATCGATTTTCTCTCAATCGTGTGATATTCATTGTATCTGGGGACAAAACGACCCCTGGATCTTATCGTCGTATTCCCATCGTGAGCGGGATCGTAATCCGGATTCTCGTTGTCCCGGTAACCTTGAACATCCGAGTGTCCACGGCGGGAAGCGAGGCGGCACACAAATTCGTTTGATGCCCGCCCACGAGTTTCATCGAGCTGTACATCTCACGCGACCAACTTTGCAAACCCGAGTCCCTCCCATTTGCCTTGAATCCTTCCTCTTTATCCCACTTTTACACTTGCAATCTGCACTCATAAATCACCTCCTTTCTCTGAGACACATTTCTTGAACTTTCTGTTTTAAAACTTTTGAGAACATCACAGATGTACTGGATGAACAAAGAGGAACATCATGTTTAATGGACTATGTGATGTTGAATGGTGGAAAATAAATAGATGTTTGAATACAGCTTGTAGTTGCTGTTGTTTCTTCGGTTGTGTTTATGATACATGTGAAGATTAGGCAGTATAGGCAGTAAAATGAATAGTGCAGCATTCTGATCAGGCTGTGCAAATTCAATGGGATTATAGTAGCGCGGACATGAATGATGATTGACCATTATTTATTTCCTACCAATCTAAGATCCGCATTTGTAACACTCATGAATATAAAGAACACAAGTGAAATCCCTCCATGAGGGAAATGATTTTCTATTCAATCAATGTTCTTGTACACTAGTTCTCAAAAATGTGAATTTATATACAGATTTTCAGATACATAATTGGTGTTTAGGAGAAATTGTTTTCTGTAAAGTTATCTTCTTCATATAGAAAATCCATTATAATAGAGAAAAATAGTTTTTTGTGTAAAGTTTCTTTTCTGAGAAAATCAAATTTGAATCTTCTGTGCAGATATCATTTTTGGAGAGCATAAGATTGTAGTTAAGAAACGTTAAAATTTGATGCAAATAACAAGATTTGAAAAAGTAAAGTTAGAAGGTAGTCAAAGTAACACGATACACTTTTATTCTTTCTCTTATATCCTAATAGTTCTTTAACTATTTTCATGTGAGGAAAGAAATCTCGAGACTTATGGTTTCGAAATATTGTTTAAGTGTGAGAATGTAACCGTCATACCTTGCACAACGATATTTCCAGGAATGTACAATTCCAACGGGCAGGTTAGAGGAAATGGAAAACCGTCTTCCTATTGCAGAACCTCCAAGAGTAATCACATTTTATCAGAAGAGGAAATTACAGCCTCGTTCCCCAGGAAAATCATTTTTTGCGTCGTTCGGGATGTAAATTTAACATAACCTTTTCATTGCCACGTTATCGATCACTTACGAATAAGTACTTCTCACTCTTTATGAAATCCGATTTACCAATTTTACACACATATAGGTACTATCTAAACCTTTAAAGTAATAAAAAGTTTAACCCTTGACTACAGGCCACTCGTCTCTGAGATGGATAATCAGACAAAGACCACTTCGTAATAATTTTTAACAAACCAACTGAATGTTATTTTTCGTTACCGTTCTCGAAATAGCGTGCCACTTTACTGTTATTTAAACGTACTCAATCAAACCAACTCAAACGCTAGAGCTTTCCAAATTCTCCACCAGGTTGCGATCTTGAAATAACGACTCCGAGTCATCTGCGTAGTTACAAGTTAAAATAAAAATTTCCCATTAAATTCAGCTTAGTAAAAATAAAAGCAAGACGATAAATAGAAGTGAAAATGATGATAACAAAATTACATGTAATAAGAATGATACGAAAAATATACTACGAAAAGAATAATATTGAACTAACTAATGATGAAAGAGGAATGCGTATGTACACTAATTGTTCCATGTTCCGAATCGTGACTTTACTATTCAATTATATTAGGAATCAAGCATTTCGGATAAATAAAAGCGGCAAGAGTGATTACCTATGATGCAAGAACTGCGTCAATCCGTCAGACACGGCGAACGTTCTTCCCGGAACGATTCCGTTTCTAATCGGATGATACAGCGAGAAATTGATTTGTAGCTCAGGTGCACTGGCTAATGGTGTTCCGAGGTCTCAGAAATTCCAATTTTCATTTCACCGACTCGACTCGAGAGTTATTAACTAATTTGTTGGTCCTGTAAACAAAAATTTAATACAATAAATAAATAATTTATGTTCACTTTAATTATAACGTAAATATAAATAATAATTTATACTTGGTGCAGGCGTATAGATATTCGGTGTTTAATTAACTACATAGTTAATATTTGTTAAATATAAATTGTATCAATAAAATATAATTTGCTAAAGGATTGATATTCTAAATGTGAGTAAGTATATCTCAATGAAATTCGTAACATTACGATTAGTTAACGAAAAAAATTTGTGTTTCAGGGTGCCTGTTCAGTAAAAGCCTCTGCAACCCCCGAACGGAAACTTGCTACAACGGTGACGTGTTTAATTTTTCTAAATGAAGAACGTTCCTGGAAACGAAAAAATTGAAATTGAATTTTCTTTCGACTTTGTTCCAGATTTGGCATTCGGCAGGTGTTTACCATTATACACTGATTTGAACGAAGAGGACTATTATCAGTGAGTATTTGTTCACAAAAAAATAACTTATACAAAGAAAAACGCGAAAACAATACATTTTATCTAAAAAATTTTGTTCATCGATCCCATAAGAACGTTCATTAGTTGTATAACTTAATAGCATTAAAAACAGTCAATTTATCCATAACTTACTAACATATATTTTTAAAAATTTATTTCAACTTTATTTTCATTGATTCATTGGTCTCAGTAGAACGCGCAACGAATAATCGGACGGAGACGCGAGGCAGTAGTACCGCTTCGCTATGATCAGACGTTACACGAAATTGACACTGATGTTACTGAAATTACTTACTTTCTATTTATATTCTTGTTTAACAATCACCTGTACGTGGGAGATTCTCTGTTACACGTATCCAACTAAAAGGGCACATAATTGACGGTGTTTTTTATGACGAGCATTCACTTAGCTTTACTGCCAGACCATAAAGTCGTCTTACTACTTCATTCCCTACTACTCGTTCGAGAAAGAACGTACCGGCAAAGTTCTATAGTTAAACCTATCAGATCGATGTAGCATATCGTTTTATATCTACAGAATTCTCAAGTAAAACTACTTTGATATTTTTGCATCATTATAATTAAATATTTTTGTTATTCAACAGGTATGACTTTAACGTCGACGAATTGGAACTACTAAGACTGCAATTAGAGAGGCTGCAAATCGACGGTTACAAATGGTCGCATCCCTACACACAATGTATTATGCAGACATCTTTATATAATTTACGTCATGGGTTCGATCAAGTTTTAAATACATTGCGCAAGATGGAGACAAATCCGTGGTTTATTTTAAATGCTACATACTACATTAGCAATGTATTTCTTCACGAGAAATCACACCACACGTGATATAAACGTTACGTCACAAATTTGTCCCCGTCCTGTACCATAATTGTACAATAATACACGCAATATACTTATCCACTCGAACTGTACTTTTCAGAGAAACCTACGATCTTCGTTTGTGTCAGCATCTGAAACAACATACGCGTTTAGAGAACGAGAATGCAATTGATCAGGCAAGAGTGAGTTATTTAGAATTGTCCAGTAGATCAATACAAATATAACTTACGCTGGCAATGACCGTCATGTTTCCGTTTCAAGGTACCCGCAATAGCCATAGTAAAATTCACGCCCGGCAATGGTAATTCTGGAAATCAGTTTGCCAGCGAGTTATACTATCCCCCCGGAACACGCGAACAATACGTTCGAAGCACAGTCTACAATGATGAGATCCCACGAGCATCGTACAAGGAACCGACCAGGGAGTCCCCTCGATTTTACAGGCCAAGGTACACCCCGAGTCCTTACAACGAATACGAGTCCATCACTAATGAAGGTAGCTACGAGGATCGTGAAAATAAGCATAGAAGCAAACCCGTGACATACGATCAGGCCGATGAAAGAATGTACCGTACCAGACGACAACCGTACAGTTTACGTAATTATAATGACGACGCTATTGAGTCCATAAGGTATGTTTTGAACGGTGAGGTTATGCCGAAGTTCGCCGAAACCGTAGATACGAGCACCGTCAACAGCTTGCCCGTCGAGAAATTGGAATTTTTAATAAGCCAGCTTCCCAACGACTATTTCGATAAAAAACAAACGAAAGACGATATGGAAGTCGAGTACGAAAAGGCTTTCTCCAAGAAGTACAAACATCCTAGGAAATTCTCGGGTGATTCGACTAAAGAGGAATCTTTGTTGGCTAATGTAAAACGTAACTTGCAAACCGATGACTATCGCGACGATGACTACGACGACGTGAACGACGAGATTCAATTACCTCAGAAAGATGCTCCTTCGTTGGAGAATGTTATATACACCGAGGGAGGTCTTGTACAGGCTACTGATGATAAATCTGTTCTGGATCCAGATGGTAAAGTTCCAAATAATTTATACACGGAGTTGTTAAATATAGAATTTTGCGTGGGGTTGATGAGTGAACTGAATTCACTTTATAGAAAAACGCTATAACACTGTGTTCGACGACGAGTTTGAATGGACGCGAGAGTTGGCTGGCTTTAAAAGACGGGAACGCTTGGATGTGAAGAAACCAGGACCGCCATTTTCGACCAACAACTATGCATATAAAATACCATCCCGTTCCAGTGAGTATTCCCAGTAATATCCGAACTATTCGCAGTGCAGAAAGTTAGAGGATTAACTGTGTGATGGTGGAACTGGGTCAATTTTCACCCATATGCCCAACAGTTACTTTCCTCCATCATAAGTTATCTTAAAGCATTTCTCAGTTAGAACTCTGTACATTTATAGGTATGGCAAATGAAGATCAGTCTGATTCAAGTGAAACAGATCAGGATGTAAGTAACAACCCTAAGAGATAAAATGAATCAAATGTAATTAAGACAATGGAAGCACGTGAATTGAATCTTCCAGAATGACGTATTACTTCCTCCATTCGTGAAAAAAGAAGTCGGAACCGGACATCCGGCGGAAAGTTCTTCAGGATCGTATCACAATGTCGATTTAGATCACGTTTATATGGAGTTGGAACAACCCTTTCGCAGGTGGTCCGAAGGTGAACATGTTGTCAAAGAGGTATCATTCAAACTTCTTCACTTTTATAGCCTTAACTTAAGATAAAGATTCAAGTGAAGCAACTGTTCGATTCATAGGTGGAAAAGCTGCTAGAATTAACACCGGGAACCCTAAAAGATGTTAGAGTTGGTCGTGCGGAAGTAACGTTCAAGGTCGCAAAAAATAATAAGAATTACAATGCTACAGACGTTGTTAACAACATAGGTAATTACGATATCAACGGGACACGCGTAAATCATAATAACATAAATCAATTATGTCGCATGTTTAGACGATATACGAGGCAAGCTAAGGGAGACGCTGGGTGTCGAGGTGATCCGTGCAGGCATAGGTGACAAGGTTCATCTTAAAACACATTTAAAGCATGAGACTCGAGGAAATAGTTAGAGTATCGTTATCCAGATTATTCGAGATATGTCTGAACCTATTTGAACAATAATTCTTTTACCTTGAATTATCTATCAGTAACACGATCCTCTGACTAAGAATTGTACGTGGGTCATTTGAAAAGTTCTCGGAGTGGAGTGAAAAGACGAGTTACATCCGTTTTAACGTCAATGCACTAAGGCCAACGATATTAAAATTTTATAGACCAACGTTATAAACAGTCTTCAGAAATTTACAGCACACAACGTTAAGTTATTCATGTAACAAATTAATATCGTCGATCAACTAAAAGTTGCAGAACTACCGTACCGATGTGATCTGCACTTCGTTGCGAGAGCATTTCAAATAACCCACTGTATTTAAATAATTCGATAAGTAAGGCTCATTGAATCACAATGAACGCACTTTGTTTATAGGCTAAACTGCCTGCGACGCTAGAAGTTGCCAGGGATCACGAAATGAGTTCAAGCGTTTTCGGTGCGATAGTGGCCGCGGGAATCGCGGCTGCCGGTGCAGCTGCTGCGGTGACCCTGTTAATTGCACGTAATCACGCAAAATCACGGGCTAAGTTGGCAGGATTGTCTACTCCTGATCCGGAAGCTTCCAAAGACTACCAGGATCTGTGTCGAGCGCGGATGCACGCGAAACAACCAACCGACAAACCCGAGTCACCTCGTGTCAGCCACTTGAGCCGCGAAAGTGAATCGAATAATTTACCCTCGAATCGTTCCAGCACGTCATCATGGGGAGACGAACCAGCTCTTTCGAACATGGATATATCAACTGGACAAATGGTCCTTGTAAGCCGATGTTTCTATAACTGTCTCCCATTTTCGGGTCCTCCAACATTTTTGTTACACCCTGTATAACGTTCAATTTTTTTAGTATGGTAAAATTTCTTGGTATATTTTGCAGAGTTATATGGAAGATCATCTGAAAAATAAAGACCGCTTGGATCAAGAATGGACAGCGTTGTGCGCGTACGAAGCCGATCCTTGCTTGACCGAAGTCGCCGAATCCGAGACGAACGTTAAATGTAATCGTCCCGGCGGCCCGCTACCGTATGATCACTCCAGGGTGATATTGAACGATCTCGCGAACGCCAATAATTCTGACTATATTAACGCCTCCACCATTGTGAGTATCGTTCTTGCACGTTGCTCCGAATTTCTTCGAAAGACGACTACTCAGAGTATAGTACACACAATAATCCATGCATCGTTTTTATCGTGACGGGACTGAAAAAATAGAAATCGGTAAGTCACACGACGAGAGCGCATGTAGTTTGACATTTATATTGCATTGCTGCAACATTCATTGTAAAACGAGGCATGACGATTGAGGTCCACTGTGCTTTGATAATTCTTACCGTTCTGGGCATAGGCTATCACAGGCATAGGCTACTCAAGTACTAGAGGCGAGATTCCAGTACATATCTCATGCACACAGAAAGTGTACGAAATAAGATATGGACTTAATTTTATAGGTGAATTCACCATACATAAATAATTAAAGAGTATACTGAGTTCTAGTCCGAGAGACAAGTTATCTGGCAGATTATAAAACTGTTCGTAAATAAATGGTTATACATAATTCCGTAACCGTTTCTATCTGATGCATTCACCTATGGACGTTTGTCCAGATTCTGATCACAGCAATTCGAAGTACATATACACAAACCGCGCACTATTGTATGCAGTAGCTGGAATTACACGAAATGGCTCCGAGTGCCTGAAACACAATAGAGAAAAGGTTTCTCGTTTCACTGCAACTCTTTAGATCACCCGCATAGTGGAAACATTCTTCCCAGGCGTCACGCAATAATTAAAAAATTAGCGAATGTGCTTTAAGATGAACCGTGTGACTTGCTTTTCGATGATTGATCGACCACTGGGGCAATCCACTTGAATAAATATTGTTCGGTTTTCAGACGGACCATGATCCACGGAATCCAGCTTACATCGCCACGCAAGGCCCACTACCTCATACGACAGCTGATTTCTGGCAACTGGTTTGGGAGCAGGGCAGCGTTGTGATAGTAATGCTAACCAGACTGACCGAGGAAGGTGTCGCCATGTGTCATCGTTACTGGCCCGAGGAAGGATCGGAATTGTATCACATCTACGAAGTACATCTTGTCTCTGAGCATTTCTGGTGCGACGACTATCTGGTACGCTCTTTCTACCTGAAGAATCTACGTACCGGCGAGACTCGGACCGTAACCCAATTCCATTTCTTATCCTGGCCTGAAAATGGTGTTCCGTACTCTACCAAGGCACTCCTTGAATTCCGTCGGTAAGTACCTGAAGTGTTGAAAAAAAGATATGTGCAAATAAATATCATTAATATTATCATGTACATTCCAGAAAGATCAACAAATCGTACAAAGGAAGATCATGTCCCATTGTTGTGCACTGCAGGTAAGCGATCTCATTAACCGGACACTTTGGTCGATTTCGGTGCATTAGTTTCGAAACTTACTTTTGGGATACCGTGTATGGAAGGAACAGTTAATTGTAGTACATATTTTATTCATAGCGATGGCGTTGGCCGTACCGGTACATACTGTTTAATCGACATGGTCCTGAACCGGATGATGAAAGGAGCCAAGGAAATCGATATCGCGGCTACTCTAGAACATATTAGGGATCAGAGGCCCGACATGGTTGCAACGAAACAACAATTTAAGTTCGTTCTCATGGCCGTGGCGGAAGAGGTACACGCTATCCTAAAGGCTTTACCCGTACCCCCTGCCGAGAAATCTCCTCCCGCGGGGAGCAGCTCTTCTACGAAGGAAGAACAGTGAGATTTGAAAACCTGATTCCGAAACTGCAGTCGCGACGAGCAAAGGCAAAGTATTAATTGCAGTATATATCGAAGAACGATGAAGGCCAAATGTTTCTAGTCAATCATCTACAACTCTAAAATCACTGTTAACACTTTTCGTTTAGGTTATACTTCGTCCAAGAAACATTGAATTGTAGAAATTGCAAGGTTTTAATTTTAGTATTTCGGTGATTACACCGGTGATACGATTGATACGTACAAATTATTGTATTTGTCAGATACTTCAGGGAGCAGTGTCAATCAGCCTTTCTTTTCTATCTCACTTCACTACGGCCTACTTGAATAATCAGGTACAAGCATACACGGATTCGAAAGACTGAGCTATGCAGCTGCTGGAATTCTAAATATTGGTTAATGATGGAATCATTTGTACTACGTATTCTTGTAACACCGTCTTTCGAGGTAATTCTTGTAGTTAAGTACTGAAGTACTTTTGTTGTGACAATGAATGCCTGTCGTCCGTATTCTGTAGCTCAGTCTTTACATCTGTCTTCTTTCTTTCTGAATCTTTACGAAAGTACCGTTTAAGTAAAATTGAAGTTATGTTGCCTCCTCTCATAGATAACTTCACTAAGGTGCTTTACAATAGTTTCAAACAGAGTACTAAAATATATTGCAGAGTAATTAATGTAGTTCTATCTGCTCAGTCAATTCTATCAAGCATACAGAACGTGATTGTTTAACATTGTTTCAGTTGGTTATTTTAAATTTTAACGACTTAATGACTTCGTTTGAAAAACTGATATACAGTGTTTCTTTGAAAGAAGCGGAGTACCAAGATCAAAGATTTAGAGATTGAAGTCAGAATTTTTATACTATTGTTACATATTCTAAAAAGTATGGCTTTTTAATGAATGACTACAACTGTTACTTCCCGAGTATGAAATTTTATTCGCCGTTATATCTGAAAGAAAACAAATATCCTATATATAGATCTCAGACAACATGTGTTTAATAGTCTTTTTTCTACGCGTACGGGAAAGAACAATCGAGCTGCACAATATTAACGGAAGTTTATAATTAAGTGCTTATCATGTCAACAAAATTGTAAGAATAACGTTTTATCGGTGTGAAATATGAATTATTGTACGACCACGTAACGTAACATTAATGTTCAAAATATCATGGTGAAAGTGTTGAACATGATCTTCGAATGTTTAATCATTATATCGTGATGATAATGTCTAAATGGTATGTAAAAGAAAATACATATAAGCGTACGTGTTTGTACGAGTTGTCGTGTCGATATAACGGGTTGTAAATGAAAAACGCTATACTTGCTTTAAAATTGTAGTTCTGTTGATCCTGTAGATCCAGCCTCCCACAGGATTAACAGACTGCGTCGAAGGTTCCTTCCTTCTCGTTGTGCAGTACGATTACTGTCAATTAATATTTTCTCCTTCGTGTTTTCCGTGTTTACGTTATTCTTCTTCCTAACGTAACGAGAATTCACAGGATAGACATAATTTTATTCTGAATAACAAAGCATGAATTGAGTTTAAAAAAGTAGTTAGTAACCATAAAGAAATAATTTCAAACAAGATACAATACTAAATACGTTCATTTCCAATACTGCTTCCAGTTCAAAAGAATCCCATATTCGATGTATTTGAATAGAGAAAAAATTAAGAATATCAATTGTTAAAATTTTGTACTTTGTAACATTTTCCTTTCTGTGAAAGTTTATTATGTTTTCAACGAGCTTCAAATTACCACAAACTGTGAACGCAGCGTGAAAGTTTGCTTGACCAAAACAGAAATTTACTTTCATTAATCTTTTTTAGCACACATTCATATAACAGATTCTATATTTTTATGCAAAGGGACAAGTCTATATAAAATGAAATGATATAGTTATATAAATCTATACTATGTTACTCAAAGTGTAATACTATATGTGTTATAATATAATAAATCACTCTATGTTCAAATCAACATAATGCAGAGCAGGTGTATTTATTCCATTGAATTTACTTTTCTTCGGATGCAAATCTTACATAATTATAGAAACCTTTTCATGTATCTTTTACGTTTTAACGTATACTTTTTATAATACATAGTAATAAAGAACATATAAAAATACTGTATATACTTTTAAGACTTATTTAAAATATGGCAATATTTCTATTATACATAGAATATACGTGAACATGCATCAGTCATCTTGGAAACTGGATGCAAATGTATCAGGAAACAATGGATCCCAAAATCCTGAAAATAACGAATATATATAAAAACATAACAAAAACACGCAACTGAATCAGTAACATTACCTTCGGGTGTACTTTCTCTTTCATTGTACTTCGTTCTATGCCGAGAACACTGATTCTGCCTTTGTTTTATTTCTCTTTCAGAAAGTCCAAGTTCAGCATAGTACTACAAATAAAATCTGTCAAGAAGAGTAACTTAAAAAAAATTATAATTTACATCATTATTACTGTGCGTATGCACAAAATAGATACAAAAAAATGATAGGACTGTCTGATCCGTCAATGCCTGTGTGCAGCATGAACAAAAAAAGAATTGCATTTAGTATCATTTTCGATAATCATACTATTCGTTTTCCATTAAAAATTAAATATATGTTACCTTTTTACATTCCCAACAAGAAACACCCTGCATCTTTGCCCTTTCTGCTTTGCTTTTTGATTTACCAGAAAAAACTTGTTTTTTCTCGGGTACCCTGCAAAGAAACGACTATATTAACCAATTTCTGACATTAATTGTTACTTTATAAGCATTTATGTGACTGTAAGTATTACATATCAAAACTGTCCAAGAGACTTTTTTTCACAGGTGAAAGTTCACTTGAAGTACTCTTAGGTATTCTTTCTTTAAAATCTTTGGTATTATCTACATTGGAAACAAATTTTTCTTTAAATCTTTCACCTAACAGGCAGAATGTTTCGTCGTCACCTGCTGAAGTATTATAACCGCATGTTTCATTGATTGTTTCCGAAAATTTTCGTTTTTGTGCTTGGTTTTCATTTCCTCTGACTTCTAATTTCTTAGTTTCTCTCTCTGGCGTTTCGACAATTAAATGTTCAGCACTAACAAGTGTTGGGGATGTTGGAGAAGTTAACATATTACTTTCACTGTCAACACTTTCATTGTCTGAATTACTAAATGTTTTTAATCTTTTTATTAAGTATGGTTCATCTTTTTGCATGGATGTGTATACAGGTAAGTACTGATTGAGACTGACTGGATTGCTTAACGAATCCAGCTTTATATCTCTAGTTTTACTGTCAGTAAGTTTACCAAATACATCATTGTCTCCCCTACTACTTTTTTCATGAAGCTTTGAAGGACGTTTTTTCTTGTTTTTCAAACTTCTTATTTTCAATTTTAATTTTTTACGTTTGGTGGGACTATCTTCAACTATTTCTTCCTCTGCTGCTCTCATAGAACTAAGATACTTTGAATTTTGTTGTATTTTTCTTTGAGGTGTAAGAGACATATGTGGTTTCAATAAGGCTAACTCTTTGTGTATCTCATGACCAATGTTTTCTGTACTTCGTTCATTTGGAAAAAACATGAGTGTTGACTGTTTCAATTTTCTACCATTTCTCAATAATGTGGTATCAACATTATACAGTTTACTAACTCCTAGTTTTCTTGGCATAGTGGATAAGGGTGTACATTCTATTTCATCATTATTATTCTCAATGACTGAACATTCGCTTTTTTTTGTCTCAACAGATGTGTCATAGATATCTTCTTGAGAACTGTTTGCCAAAATCTGAATATTTTCTTTGGCTGGTATATATTTAATGTTTTCCTCAGAATCGTCTAAAATGTAACGACCAGACATTACACTGCTTCTTCTAAATTTATTACGCTTTTTTATAAGTACCGGACTATGTAATAACTTATTTTTTTCTATTTGCTTTGGATTAGATACAATACCAGAACCACATTCATTCGAAATACTTTCATAGGTAGATACAGATAATTTTGCATTCTCAGATAATACTTGACTTGTATATTTATCAAGTGGTTCTGTATGACTTTCAGAGCATTGTGACAATATTTCACTAGAATATAGAGAAAGAAAATTATAAAAAAAGTGATATTTACGCCAGACATATGTAATTACATTTAACAATTTCCAGTTACAGTATTTTCTCCATAAGTGCTTTGCCAGGTTTATTTTATAAGAATTTCTGCTTCATCCCCACTACTAGGAGATTCCCTTTGAAACCAGTCAAGCTAGTAATGTAACACGTTAGTCTCACTTTTATCATAAAAATCTCACCAATACATTAATAAAATTTTCATTAATTATTTTCATTGTATTATTATTTATTTACATTCATAAACCAATATGTTAATAAAAGTTTCTTTAACATGTTGTCCAGACGATACGCGACATTTAAACTTTATCGGCTACCTCGACGCTCGGTCTCTTTTCTTTTTCATTCTCTGTCCTTTTCTGCGATCGTCGCTGTTGGCAAAATACGAAGGCGAGCTGCCAAAGCTTAACCCGAAAATTATCACGAGCGAAATTTATTGACTGGTTCCATACAGGTTTTAAGGAAAACCTGAAGTTGGAACAGTAATGGAGAAAATACTGTAATTAAAACGAGAACTTACAGATCCTTATTGTCACTTTCTGATTCGAACAACTGAAATGGAATCTTAACATCAGCATCTTCACAATACTTTCGCAATTTTAAATATTCAATCCATAATTCTGCAAATATAAAAACTAATTGTTTAAACTAAATAGTTTATTAGGAAATTCTCACATATTTTAATGATTCCGCAGCATGTTACTTTTGCCGAAGTTTATCTGTGTCATCTTAAAACATCTTGTATATACTTACTTTTATATTGTTCGAATGCCTTTCCAAGCATTCCAGCGAAATTCTTGGCAGCATTTTGTGCGACTTCATTCTCTATACGGTAATGAAATTGTAGAACGTCTGATGTAGCCGATGTAGCCATTGGTAAAGCAGACGAGGTTAGGTATTGTTTTTTTTTCGAACGACTCAAATACCTCGTCCGTGTTTTCACTTGCCATTAATTAATGTGCTGCGTGTTTTTATTGTGTATATCAGTATCACACCGAACATAGAAACGAACAAATTCAACAAAGAAAAAGAAATTTATTATTCATTCCCACAACGTCGTACCGCTGACCACTTCTCTGATCGACGAGCGCGCTGTCTCTTTTCGAATCGCAATCCGCCGACCGCCATACGTCGTCATAGATTGTATACATCTCGCTGGTACAGAAGTACACGTTCTAACCTCACTTTCATCCTGTTGTATACATCCTCTTCGGAACCACATCAATCTGAAACGTTCGTTAAAATTCATTTAATTTCTTCCTTTCATCGTAGTTTCATTGATCTCTCAGCTGTTCGAAATAATTCTAATTCTTCACGGTACGCCAAATAGCCTCTAAATACTTATATAATTTTGTAAGTACTTAACCAAAAAGAAATGATTCATGTATATATATATACATATATATATAGATGTGTTACTATACATATATATATATATATATAGTGTGACGAGTTCTTAGATTCGAATTATACTTTTGTTTTTTTACTAAAACCCTTATCCTGATCTGAAAAAATTCTCCTATACTCGTGTACTTTTGTCTCTTTATTATATCTCGATCATGTTATGTACATTACATCCTGTAAATACTTGCAGAATAAATAAGCATTACCATCTTATGTGAAAAAAAAATCAGAAATCTTATGCAATAAATGAATGTTAAAAATGCATCCGATTTTAAAATTTGTATAGAGTACCTCCATTCTTTTTTCGTTTTTCGATAACGAACTCGTATTTTAAAAAAATCGTGTATCAGAATCCATTAAGACAACTGTTTTTTCTACAGCAAAAAAAAAAGATAGAATTGTTTGCACAAACATTTGGTTCAATTTCCGTTTTAAGTGCACATACATTTTACATGCACATCCATGTATGTACATGAATATATATTAAATATTTCTTAATGGCAAAAAATAAATCTACATTTGAATGAGCAAAAAAAAAAGTGTACGTTAAGACTTTTTAAGCTCCTATGTCGTATGTCGCATGAGTGTGTACTATAAAGAGCACTGTTTCGTATTATTACAGATTATAAGGACTGTATTAAGTAACTGGTCAGATATTAATAATATATCAATTATATACAAGTATACACCGAATGTGCACTTACAATTATGAACAGGTAGTAGAGCCTATAGACAACTTGAATGCAGTTGTCCTTCCTGGCCTAATTAATATTTAAAAAATAGCAATTTAGACCTTTTCCAATTTTATACAAAACACAGTTCAGAACGCTGTAAAGTGTCGTATGTACAAATCATTACGAGCTGAATGCCGACTGAGAGGAGGTCGAGGGCAGGAAAAGGTTCTGCGTCAGGCTGGATGCCGGTTTACCTGGGGGTCGGGTGATAGCAGGGGAAGGATTGTATGTTTCCAAACCGTAGCGCGACATAAGCGCCAATAATGCACTGCGAACACCAGCTGTAGCCAGTTGTGACCATCTTCCAGAACTCATTGCATCGTCGCCAGCATAAACTGCGTGCGCGTCGAAGTTTCCTGAGTGAGAGGAATTTGTATCTAAAATAAATAATAAAAAAACAAACTAATGTTTGTTAAGTATGATACAAACAGAAGAGGGAAATAATGATGATAAAGCTCACCTAACGATGGTGGATTTAATACAGGAAGGTGAGATTCTAGCTGTCCACTTGGTCTTGAGTTTGCAGCAAGTCGAAGTTCGGTGTGCAATTCTCCCAACAACTGTACTACTCTTGGGTCACTCTGTAATCAAAGATAATTGTAACATTTACATTCTTCTGTTAAAGATGAATGTTCCATTGGTAGTGTTAAATGAAACACAAATGTGTTGTAATATAAACAAAATTATGGAAGTAAAATAATTATCTAGAATGGTGAGAACAATTTACCTCATTATCTGATCGAAGTGACATGAGATCATCAACACGAATCGGCTTTCCCTGATTTAAGGCATTTGTGAGAATACTTAATTTGCGAGCAAGACTATCTTCAGCACATAGCTCTGTTACATGAGAGCCAGCATCTCCTTTGAGTCGAGGTTTGACTGGTGGAGGACTGGCGTAATAATATGATGAAGGTGAGACCATAAATGGCCCACTCTGATTAAACAAATTATCGCCCCCGTAATGGGAATCGGTACCAAGTCGGTTTGGATGAGAACTGTAGCCTGCTTCCATTTTTAAACGTTTGGAAGACCTGAAACCAAGTCAAAAAACATTACAAAGACTATAAAAATGAAGCTGAATACATGGAAAATTTTATTAATTTTATGTCAATTGAAATTTCTTGAACGCAGAACACACATTCTTTATACTAAAACATGAGTAGTTAGTATTTATATATAATAATAGATATTATAAATGTGAATTTGTCACGGCAAAGGTTACAAGTATTAACAAACGTTTTTGAAATGTTATGAATTTCTACAATCATCGATTTATTCCATGTTAAAGAGTGACTTTTTCTTTACGAACTAATAATATAAGATTAAGCATGACCTAAAATCATGTTACTATATTCGAGACAAAAGTAACATCAATGAATTATGTTATATTAAATAAAATATTACATGTACACTATTAACACAAATGATGACGCACAAGTACACAACCATAACACTTATTTAGTAATTAAAAAAGAGTCATGCAAATGGTAATGTGTCCTGTAAATGTGCATATTCAAAAAGCAAGACTAATAAAAAAAAACCAGTATTTTTATATGGATGTACATGCAATTTAATGGGCACAGAGCATATCAACGTTTATTTATAATCCGTAAATTTTATTTTTCACAACTTATTGCATATACTTATTATTTATACCTCAATGAGTAATGTAATTATGACGAGAAACAATTTCACGAGGGATCACAAATATTAAGGGCACAGCAGAGTCGCAAAGTTCATTACATCCTCAACCCTTTCGTACAGATCAAGCGTTTTATTTTAGTCGAAAAGCCCAAGCAAATGAATTTGTTATATGATACACAAAACCAAGTCTGATGTGAATTATTATACTGGATACCCTGGGTATAAACATGTATTAAGCAAATTTGAAACTTTCATTACCTAGTTTATATTCTTATAAGTGTTATAAAATTTGCCCTCTTATCATTCAGCCACATTAATATTATTTCCTGAAACATAATGTTCTCATTAGATGTCTTGCCAATTAGGATTTGCTTATAATTACTTTGCCTTGCATTGAAAACATTATGTTGTTTTCTCCAAATTCCACAATATAATGTACGAATATTTTCAAGTGTATGTACATAACCAACTACTGCTTACTACTTGTATATTAATTTCGAATAGTATAACAGAACATCTGAGAGCTTGAAGTTTGCTCTAATAATTACATGAATTTACAATAGATTTAGAAATATGCTACATAAACAATGAAATTTAACAAAAATCTGACCAACATGATTAAACATTGTATTAATTAATTTTTAAATATTCTTTCACCTATCTTCTATTTTTAAGTCATGTAATACTTATTACCACTTTCATTTACGTATAATATAGAATACACACGAAATGTTGTGGTTTATTTATTATTAATCTCAAAACATTTATCCAAGTTTTTTTTATTAAAATACAGGGAATTTTTATTTCACAATACGTGAAAGTACCATATCACTTGTGAATTTGCATCCTTCATTCAATATGACATAATCTAACAGTATCATTAACAATGAAATGATAAAGAACTCATTTAATTTATAATCAGATATATATTTATAACTGTGTAAATTTTTTCAACCTATCTTATCTACCTCATTGTGTGCAGAATAGAGTGTCAGTGTAACATTATGTGTTATTTATTCTGACACAATACTACGCAAGAGTAACATATGTATATGTTAAATATTCCTTGAACGTATTGTGGAATAAGCAGAAAAGTACCATATACTTCTATAGTCATTTACGAAGAAGGTACGTTATCGTATACACTTGTGTTTCAACTAATTCCCCAAGGTCCCAGTGTTCATGGTCAGATATGATTCTTCTAAGGGGTTATCGGTACTTAGTTGATAAATTAAAATGTAGACATATTGGCAGGGGCTAAACAAATTAAACGATAAAATATTTTAATAACATTGGAAGTTCATTGTCCATTAAAATTGTTCAGGCGGACGCCTCTGGACATTTCGGTAAATTTATATTACAGTAATTCGACAATATTTTACATTACGACAATAATACATTATGTTTGTCTAAATTCCGGATTTCATTATAAGAATGGCGCCAATACAAAATACGTGCAAAAAAAACACATGAAAAATATTTAACGGATATTAAAAAAAACCGCCATTCGTATATTGAAACTTACGTTAAACTATCTACAATACAGAAATAACGAACTATAACACAGTTTGCGGAACCAATTAAAAATATACCTAATTTAGAAACGTGAATGTTTAAATAAACTAAATTAACGTAAATGAAGTGAACTATCGTTGATGGGATAGTCCGTGACGTTAACATTCGCGTAACACATTCACATTTTAGTCTTGGCTCCTTGTATTCCATGTCTCTTCATCCTCCATCAGTTTCTTCTTTGTATCCCATTCGACCTATTTACACTTCAAGGCTTTAAACATTATAAAAACAGTCTGCTTGTTCACGTTGTTTTTTAATCTATCGTTTCCATGCGCTTCAAAGGTAGCACTTCAATCTCATCGTTTAACACGAAACTTAACAATATGAAATTCTAGTAACTCTGTTCTCGTTTTATTTACAATCGTACAACCTACTACTGTTCTTTTCCTTCTTCTTTAGTAGCTCGTCATTCAAGGGCGAATACGTTTTTAAAGCATATGTATGTCACTGATACAATTGTGGAACATCGTTGATTATATGCACATACACGTGAATCACGTAAATGCATACACGAAATTATCAATGTTAAATTGTACACGCGTGCATCCTTTTTTACATATACAAATATGTTTCAATATATGTATATGTACGTTCACGTATTCATAAAGTGGCAAATATTTACACACTTATCTATTTTTGGTCATAATAGTATTCAGACGTGAAAAGTATGTTATAATTATCAAGCTCGTACCACATCAGTTTTCTAAGGCAATCGATTAAATTTGAATCGCAAATAGATTTTACATAAATGCCTACACACAATACCCATCCAAACAAACAATACTCGGTGTCACTTAAAAAAAAAAAACAATTAATATAACGTTGTGACGATTAGTATCATATAACTTCTTCCAGTCACTGATATATGTATATTTATCCATCATTCTAGTGTTTTGAATATGCAACCATATAAAAATTAAGTGTTAACACTTGACGTGATAACAGCACGTATCGCCGTAATTTGGTGTTTCACTGGTACGTCGTGTTCAAAGCGTTTACTGGTGTCTCAACCAAAAAAAAAAAAATTTGTGAACCATAGCAAAACCCATGAAAAGAGAACGACGTTGTACATTTCTTTTTTCTCTCTCTAGTTTTCGTGCTTATAATATTCCATTGCTCTGCATTATAGCCATCGCGTGTTTGAACGACTGCGAATCAAACTAAAATTAACTTAATTTTATCCATTATCGAGAGTCGCATGCAAACGGACGATGAGAAATAAAGATTACTACAATGGTTACATTTCCATTCTTTTTTTAAATAATGTTCCTAAAACAACGCACTCTGCTAAGAAAGAAATAAATGCTAAGCACAACTGCAGTACACAGCCATCTACGTGTGTAAGCAATTAGTATCTGGTCAGTACTGGTTCGCGTCCCAGTTTGTGCGAATATGTCTCTCTACGGCTACTCACCCCCCGACATCTGATAGATCTTCAATAGCCTTATGAGGACCTCCTTTATTTGGAAGAGGTAGCAGAGGTATCTTTCCTGCAGAGCTCTCTTGCTGTTCTCGCAATTGACGTCTTCGTTTTTTGCTCCAGAGCTCATGACAATCTTGCCAAGTAGGCAGCTGAGGTGCCGGCATCCTAATTTGTTATAAAAATAAACTGATCGATCAAACACATCGAAGATAATTACGAAGAATATATACAGTTCCGTATACAATTATGTATTCGTTTATACGAAGGAAACGAAAATTGTAATACTTTTTCTGTACATCAATTTGCAACCGAGTAACTTAAGCTAATATTCTCTTTAGTAACATATTGAAATACAAAAGGAAAACATACTGCTCGGGTTGAACATTTTTCAGCCAAGAACTTTTAAGCGCGTCAGCGGCTGTTATTCGCTTTTCAGGATCTAATTCTAACATTTTATCTAACAGATCCAAGGCTGGTGCCGGCATGAACGAGAAATCTTCTCGTAAGCGTCTTCTATGCGATTTTTTTGGCTTGAGTGTGTGCCACAACGGCAATTTTATCACAGAAGGCCAAACGGCAGGAGTCGGTGTACCACAGACTCGGGAGATCATCTCCAATTGCATCATCTCTACGTTCGCCTAATAAAAAGAAAACAACGGTCACGCGCAATTCGAGAAATTACTCTATTATTATGTTTAATTGCCACTACATTATCTATACCTGAAACAGTGGTTTCTTAGAAAATAATTCTCCTAGAATACAACCACAACTCCAAACGTCTATCGCGGGTCCGTAACGTTCTTCCCCGAGTAACAATTCAGGTGGTCTATACCACAGAGTAATCACTTTGTTCGTGTAAGGACGTTGCCTGTCCTCAGCATTGTACAGCCTTGCGAGTCCGAAATCCGCTAGCTTCACTTCCCCTCTATATAAAAATTACATGATCAAACCGTGGAATATAAAAATTAAAAATTATCTCGTGTCCCCGTTGTATAAAGCACATACTTGTTGTTCATCAATATGTTCGAACACTTGATGTCCCTGTGCAAGAAGTTTTTACTGTGGCAGTAATTTAATCCGTCTAATAGTTGCTTCATAATGCTTGCATTATTCATTTCATTGAAGTCGACCATCCCGGATTCTAATAGACCCATTAAATCGTGATCCATGTACTCGAACACAAGATAGAACGATCCTTTGTCCTGTAAAGATCAATACGCGAAGTCAGGTATATAATCATCAACAGCTCTAGGATCCAACGTATTGTCCACTCTAATGCAATACCTTTCTGAAGTCTAAGGCATCCTGTTTGTCCGTAACGATCTCCCGTAAGTTCACGATGTTTTTATGGTTCAACTGTCGCAAAATTTTGATTTCACGTACAGCCGTAATGGGAAACCCTTCTTTCTCGTTTTCCAACCGGACTTTCTTTAATGCAACAAGTACCCCGGCTCGTTTGTCTTGAGCTTTGTAAACCTGGCCGTAAGTACCCTCCCCTATCTGGGCTATAACCTCGAATACATCGACGCAGCGTTCTCCCCAGTCTTTCCCACCCGAAGCCGACATAGGCGTGTGACAATTTCTCGAACTTCTGCGTTTTAGGATTTTTGGTCTCTTCAACTTCGGTTTCGGCGGGACACGCTCAACCTTCGTGCGTGGCGGCGTTGCATTCGGATCATCTTCGCCGCTCAGATCTTCCGACCCAGGAACGACTGTAAATTAAATAATTCATACCGTATCCAATCATTCGAATCTTATTTGATATCGACACGACGAGATATAAAAATGCACCAATCTCTACCTGGAGGCATAGGTAGATCTTTGATACTTTTCTTCGGTGGTGCTTTCGGTGCCGAAGCGGGAAACTTCATTTGCGCCTTGCTTGGTGGACTCGGTGACCTACTTGGCGGCGAGTCTATACTCTCCAAATCATTTTGATTAATTCCAGGCGGTAACGGTAACCGTGACAAACTTTTTGTCTTGAATGCCACGATAGGGGGTTTAGGGGGATCCACAGACTTAAGAGGAACTAAATTATTAGGAGGATTGAATTTCGACATGGCCGTGTTTGGCGCCGGGACTGGAATCGGTATCGGTGGCGGTGGAACAGACATGTTTGGTAGAACAGGTACTGGTACAGGAATCGGTACTGGCACAGATGATTGCGGTAAACCCGACGCGTTCGCAGGATCGGACTGTGGCAACGGGGGTGGTGCTTGTACATTGGTAACAGTTGGAAAGATTGGGCTATTTGTAATAGTCACTGGACAATTATTAGACGTGGTGATTGTAGGTGAAGTATATACAACAGTTGGAGGCTGATTACCTCCAGGTATTAAGTTCGGTGCACTGACAGATTGTGCCATGGGCAACGGTGGTGTCTTTCCCGCGATTCCACTATCGTCTGACACTGGAACAGGAATATCCACAACATCAACAGATTTTAAGCTTTCGATCGTTGTCTTTAATTGATCTTTGTGATTCACGTATTTGTCTTTATTGTCGACGGAAGCTTTATTTTCGGACGATGTATTGCTGGCATCTTTGTCGTCTGTCCCTTCTATGATCTGAACTTCGTCCTGATTAACAGCCTTTTCTTTGGCTGCCTGTAACTTTTTGTACGCCAACTCTCTCATATTTCTGTCCTTCACGAGTTCCGCGAACAAACTAGTTTCACTAATCTTTGCCTGTACCCGGAGATTTCGTGCTGTGATGCTTGACGGGCTTCTCGGTCTGGATCTGTGAGGAGAAGGAGACGGTATTCTCGAGGGTCGCGGGCTTTTTGACTTGTGCTTCCTCGTAGATTTGTGAGACTTGCTGGGAGAACGTGATTTCTTTGGAGTGCGACTTCGTCTACGCGAGCGTGACCTCGAACGTGACTGCATTTTCCGCCATCTTCCAGGACTTCGAGATCGTGAACGAGAAAGAGGTAAATGCAACCTGAAATATAATTCATCTTGTTTATGACGGAAAGGCAATCGATGCTAATTTACTGTTACTTTAAAATCTAATGTATAATACCTGCTTCCAGTAGGACTTCTAGTTGGCCTTGACTTTCTTTTATCCCTTCTGTCTTTTTCATGATGTCTGTGTCGTCGATCGGGCTCCTCCCGTCTTCTGCGTTTATTCGAAGGTGGAGAACTAACGGGATCTCCCCTACGTCGATGACTCACAGGGCTTGGGCTAAATTCTCGTCGTCTCGAGGACGGACTGGGACTATGCCTGAGTCTATGCACCATTGGGTTTGGACTGAAATCTCTTCTTCTTGTTGGACTATGGTCCCTTCGTCTAGACGGCGGGCTTGGGCTGTGAGGCCTTCTACGATTCGAAGTTGGTCCTGGGCTAACGCTGCTACGTCGAACGTGAATACTAGGACTGTGCTTTTGCCTTTCAGGTGTGTGTTTTATCGTAGACAGAGTTGCTTTATTACTTTCCGGCGTTGTTGCTCTTGGCGGTAACAAAGGGGTATGCGGGGATTCTGTCGGCCTTGGAGGAAGCGGCGGAGGTGTTACGTTTCGAGGCTGCCTAGACATTTCAAGTTCGACATCACTTAAACATCTTTGCTCCTGAGGTGTTGCAGGCGATATTGGCGAGGTACTATCTTTCAGTGGTAAAGGCGGCGACTCGGACCAATTCCCGACTGGTTTATCATGATCTGGACTTATGATAATTTCATCTGGCACGTGGTGCGGGCTCATACTATGAGAATGTCTTTTAGACTTCCGTTTCTTCTTCTTTCCAGTGCTAGACGATGGACTGAGACTTCTTTTCTTTTTCTTTTCTCGCTTGTGTTTTTTCTCTTTTCTTCTTGCATATCGTCGGGACTCTTCTTCGTATTCGGGTGTATCGCCATGCATTGCTGAAGGCTGCTGTTCATTCGGTGAATAATGTCTGCCAGAATGCCTGTGTGGAACTGGAGGAGACGGTGAAAGACTAATAGGTGATGCTCCAAGGGCACGAACTGGACTCCCTCCATAATAACGTCTCTGTAAAACTGTTTCAGGTACTTCTCCGTCCGTATAGCTATTACCCCTGCTATCTTCTGACTGAATCTCTCCTGCTTCTGGTTCAGACAAGTCCTCGCTACTCACATCCGAGTACTCAACCAAAGGTTTAACAATGGAGGAAGCTACAGTAGGTACATTTTCTATAGATTTATCTCTTGACCTCTTTTTTTTCTTCTTTCCAGAACTCTTACTTTTTCCATGCCTTCTGTGCTTCCTGTCGGATCCGTCAAAACTGTGACGATTTATATCACTGCCTGTACTGTCTCTTCTACGCGATCGAAATCTTCCATTACGTTCAGCTCGTTCAATATCACGACTGCTAGGCATGTCACCTACTAAAACATACAAATATTTTAGTACGTAAAAGTGACAGACATTACAATCATTCTGTTATTATATTAATTTATGTAACTCTATAAAGTGTTTAAATATCATTTGCATATTTTGCAAGTTCCTACAATTATAGAGACATTTTTCTCATACAAAGGAAAAACTGTAACTCCAATATAGTTAATATTAATTGTAATCATTATGCATATTACTCACACAGATAACACAGTAAAAACTAAATAATGAATCATCATTTTATTCAACTGCCCACAAATAGTCAGTAAAATTAATATGTAATCAGTTTTCACATTAAATACAGACTTAATTTACAAACGATCGGATATTTTTAGTACTTACCTTAATATTAAACGGTATAAAAAGTTTTAAAGTACTATAATTATTTCTGTTCTCTTCAATACTTTGATACTGATCGTCATGGATATAACACACATACATAACAACTGCACATGTAAAGGCACACGAACACGCACATGTATAGTTTAGTCGACGTAACAATACTTTCGAACGACATGATTCGTTATAGGAACGCAAAAAGTAACGTGGAATTTCGGTGACCCATGATATTTTCGGAGCACAAATAGAAGAATTAATCCGATGTAAATCTATGACTCGTCAGTTTAAAGAACGTTTCTTCGAAAAGAATTTTTCGGTCGACCTAGCGTAGCCGCCATTGTTAACGACTGGGTGGCAAGGGAGTTGCCCAGTTTTCGGAAAAGAAAGCTATTCACTGTTTTTTTAGGGATTCGTAAACCAATGACGAATGTTAGTACTCACGTGCAATATAAATCTTGTGATATCACGCCGAATGTTGGGTTCCTTCGCATCGGGCTGGGTCCAACGTAGCAATGAGTATAATGGTTACGTTCGTTGCTCGGTAAACAGTTTCAACACATATTTCGTAGGCCCCGAATAAAATTCGATGAAAATTACTAGCTATCGTGACAATTAAATGTTCAGGCAATCATATTTTTATAGTTTTACTAGCCGATGCATCATATCTCATGAATTTTCTTTGGATTGTATTTGGCTTTCTCATAAAGGTAGCTCAGTAAGTAGAAGCCATTACCATTAGCACGTCATTATTGTCTGACGTAACAACCGATAAGTGCTGCGCTCTCTCGGCGTGATATGGAATAACCGAAATTGCAGAATAATCTTGACCATTATTGTGCTCGATGCAATTGGTCGAACTAAATTTACACTGTATACCTATTTATAAATAACAATATATCAGTGATAGAATGTTCATTAACGAATATATAAAGTATAAATATAAACGAAACATTTAATTTTGTCAGACCCGATAAATTTATCTGTTTTTTAACAAACCAAGCATGTAATCATAATTTGAATATTTTGCTTCAAACACTTAAACAATATTTTAATACAAATTTTATATATACTTGTATGAATTACACTGACGTCAAAATAATTATCCACCTTATTGTAACAAACTGAGAATTCTCAGTTGAAATGAGAACTCTTGCTTTCTCATGCTATATCATTCAATGGTATATACATTGTATTCTTTGCATAAGTCTAATGGTATTATATTATATTTTTACACTTCTTGAATCGATATTATATATCAATAATTGTCAGATATGACTTTTTAATCAATATTTAATGTTTTATACGTACTAGAAATGGGGTCAAATCCACCTGTGACGTCATCTACGGCAAAATGTTAAACTATTAACCAATTGATACCACTTTCCTGTCACTAGATGGAGAGACGTTGTTATTTAGCTGAGTTTAGCGCACCGTTTATTAAAAAATTAAGTGCAAATAAAAAAATACAATATACAACAATTGGTATTGAATAATAGGATTGTATGAGACAATAAAAAATAAATCAATCTTAATACAGTGCATTTTCATTTTCATTTAGCTTGAATTTTATTGCATTTCGTTTTACGTTCGGCACATGAAAATTCTTCATTAGGTTGCTGACCAGAACGCATCCTACATACTGAGTCTGTAACAAATTCAACCCATAACGTAAATTTTTGATTCATGATTAAGTCGAATGACAAGAAATTAAACTAAGGATATTAAGGTTATTAAAGGATTGAAAATAATAAACACTTTTCATCGTGCTTTTGTGTTACTTCTCCAAAAAAGACGAAGCATGGGGGAACGTTATAATATCCACAGTCAATTGGAGCATTTACAATCGAAATACATTGGTACAGGCCACGCTGACACAACGAAGTTCGAATGGCTCGTGAATCAGCATCGCGACTCTTGCAGTTCATATATGGGACATTATGATTTATTAAATTTCTTTGCGATTGCCGAAAACGAAGCTAAGGCACGCGTTCGATTCAATCTTATGGAGAAAATGCTGCAACCTTGTGGTCCACCTCCAGAAAAGCCAGAAGATTAATATTTTATGAAGAAACTCTTCTATATGTACAAGAATGTATGCAAGCAATTAAACATATTCTACGCTGTCTTGAGTAAATCAATCACTTTGTATAATTCGTACTTCTGGCAGAGAATAAAATGTGTATTTACTTAATTGGAAGTGTCTGTTACATAAGTGCGACAGAATAAACTGTTTTATTATTAAAATTTATAACCTCCGTGTGAACTTAATCACGTGTTTAATTGTGGACTGTGAAGCATTTAAGAAAATAAAAATAAGCTGAGATATTACTGTAGACATTTCGTTGTGATATAAGTGAAATACAGTGAGATCATAACTTTACGAGCAAAATGCCTATTTCATGCACACGAAAGTGCGGAAAAGATGCAATTCTCAAAGTAAGTTGACTCGTCGTTTTTAATTGATTATAGATTAACGAAATTTCCAATATTTTAAAATTCAGTAATTTTATTCAATAAGAAGTCATTATACAATAGCTACATAGGATTCATGAGAAATTTAGAGTATGGTACTTTCAATTGCAGAGACCTAAAACTGGGCATGCTTTATGCAAAGAATGTTTTTTCTGTGCCTTTGAATCCGAAATTCACCATACTATAACATTAGGTGAATTATTCAAACCAGGTGATAAAGTTGCTGTTGGAGCATCGGGAGGAAAAGATTCAACTGTACTTGCCTATGTTTTGAAAACATTAAATGAAAGATACAAATATGGAATTGAATTGTTTCTTTTGTCTATTGACGAAGGAATTACTGGTAGGATATGATGAAAACAATTGTACAATATTATGTTGCTTAGAATATTTTTTTACTTATATCTTTCCTAGGATACAGGGATGATAGTTTAAAAACTGTTCAGCAGAATAAAAATGACTATGGATTACCATTGAAAATATTATCTTACAAAGAATTATATGGATGGACTATGGATGAAATTGTAGCAGAAGTATGAATATATATTTGAATATTCTATTACGGCTATTTGCAGTTATCTAATATGCATTTTATTTTAGATAGGTAAAAGGAATAACTGCACATTTTGTGGTGTTTTTCGGAGACAAGCATTGGATAGAGGTGCTGCTCTTTTGGGTGTAGATTGCATTGCAACAGGTCACAATGCTGATGACATAGCAGAAACAGTTCTAATGAATATCTTGCGTGGGGATATTGCAAGACTACAAAGATGTACTTCCGTTATTACTGTAAGATTGTTTTTAAAATAGTTAAAGTTTAAATAACTCATATTTTAATGAAAAGTATATTCTTCATACCAGTCAGGGGCAGATAGCATAAAACGATGTAAGCCACTCAAGTATGCTTACGAGAAGGAGATAGTGATGTATGCGTATTTCAAACGTTTGGTATACTTCTCAACTGAATGTGTATTTGCACCAAATGCATACAGAGGTCACGCAAGGACGTTTCTCAAGGATTTAGAAAAAACTAGGCCCTCGTCTATATTAGATATAATACATTCTGGTAAATAAAATTGTGTAGTAATTGTGATACTGAAATTTATTGTTGATGTTTAATTCCTATATTCTATTATAGGAGAAACATTAGGAGTGAAAAATACTGTGAAAATGCCGGAACGAAGAAATTGTTCTCGTTGTGGGTTCGTATCGAGTCAAGAAATATGTAAAGCTTGCATCATGTTAGAAGGTTTGAACAGGGGATTACCAAAACTTGGTATTGGTAAGTCCAATAAAGTGAAACAGATGATGAATTCGTTTGATTCACTTGCAAACAGTACAAACGAAAACGACAAGGACGAAAGTACTGAAAAAGATAAACTAAAAGCTGTAGAATTTTAATGTTTTTATATACATTCATGTGTATAATAAATCCAAATATATCTTGTATTTTCTGTATTTAGTTACGTATCTTCCACATTTGAGTAAAACATTGTTAAAAATCTACGATAAGTTCTAAACGCATTTCGTTATTAGCAACCATCTTTTGTAACTTATACATTCAATAATCTTTATTTCAATAGAACCATATTAAGGTGAACCATTTTCAACAATTACTTTATTATTGAAAAGTACATGTCCGTAATTTGAAATAAAATTATTGTTAACTCTGTACCATATGATTTCTGAAGTTCATTCCATTTAATTCGATAACAAAACACTATTAAATATACTTTTGGAGTGTTAGTCTTAACTTATATACGCAGCAGCCTTTTGTGAAATTGGTGCTCTACAAACGGGACAATCATTGGTAATATTCTCTGCACAGTCTTCACATAAGCACACATGCCCACAAGGAAGAAGAATAATTTCACGGGGATTTGAGCGACAAACAACGCACATTTGATCTTCCCTGAGATCGGTATCCCTTACTCTTTGCCTTCCTTCTTTTCGGGACGCAGCAAGAGATTGTCTTAATTCTTCTGCTAATCTCTGTTCTGTTCTATCTTTCCAGTAACGTCGGAATAGTATTCCGCCAATTAAAAGACCGATTGCACCAAACATGAAGCATAATAATCTAAAACAAGACATAAAATAAGAAACGTACTCCTATAAAATAAATCTGTCTAAAGATACATAGAAGCTTTTATGTTTTCGAAGTTTAAACAAAATATTTTATATTTGTTCCCTATGAGATCGTGGAGACCCTAGGATGGATTGAGCTAAACTTACCTATATGTTTTTTTACGATCATCTAACTTTTTAAGTAAAGAACTAACTGACATGCTTGTTAGATAAAATGGTGTTCCATTTAAGGGAGGTTGCAGGGTCAGTGTTTTAGATTTGGTCCTTGATAATTCACCTATACCTGTGATAAGTGCACCCTCACGAAGTAGTTCTTCAGTGGATTGCAAGCCACGTTGGCGTACACCTGAAATTCACAAGAGATTATAATTTCCGCAGAAATTCTAGAGAAAAACAGATTATAACAGCATATTACAGAGAATCAACCTGTGAAGAAACCCCATAAATGATCTGCAAATGATGGTACAGTGGGTTCAAAAGTATTTGACACCACATCCATGTCTAAAATATCTGCTGATAATGGTTCTAAGATTTCTACAGAGTAAGGTCCATGTTCTAAAGCAAATGGTACAGTATTAAATACTTTATGGACTGTGCGTTCTTGATCTGACCTAGATAAAAGAAATTAACTATTCTTAATTTCAAATGTACATGTATTTCATTGTGTTGTTTATTCCCAACATACCAAAAGCCAGCTGTAGTTCTAGCTACAACATGTTCCTTAATTTTAAGTTTTTGTACAACACCGGTTATTCTTTTATTATTGATGCTTGTTAAGGGTTTTCCTAAGGGCTTAACAATGCCCCTGATGGCTACATAGCCTACCTTGTTATCAACACTTTCATTAACAAGGTTGCCCAATTGGGGACCAACTTCATGAAATTCTGCATCCTGTGGAGAAACTGAACGTTTTGAGGTATTTTGAAACATTACACGCATTGTTATGTACACTACTTAGAATTCAGTGGATAACTGCTACATTGAGTATGTGGTAGAGGTTAATTTTTAAACAGCAATGGATTTACTGCAGAATTCAATGAAAACAGCAGCAACGACAACGAAAACTTTATTTACCTTGACTGCAGCGACTGCATTTTTACAGTGGAAAAACTGTTTCAAACAGATACCAAAAATAACACTGTCAATTCCGACAGCTATTATCTCACCCAAATAATCCATAATTAGGTTATATTTTCAAAAGTCACGGTCAAGTTATTGTTCATGTTGAATATTTCTATTGATTCGTACGCGGTCCATTCGATTCCATGTTGGTAGATTTTTGTTTGAAATTTAAAACACCTGATTTTTACTGAAAAGCGAAACAAAAAAATTACAATCCTAGCCGGGTACAAATATCTTAAGAACAAATTAATCATATAACGTTGTCGAAACTGTCACATCAGCGATCATTTTATGCACGTGTAATTTATTCATTCTCCTCGGTTGGTAACCCTGATTGTGTGATTGAACTGTTTTTCGCGATATTTGGGTTTAAAGTTCAAAAAATATGCAGGAATTTTCAAGAATTGAAATAGTTGTTGTCCATATTTATATACGATTCCGGAAATGTATGGACTCGAAACGATCTGAGGGATGTACGTGAGGAAACAAATAAGATCCGTTGATTGTTTCAGTAAAGTATTTTAGTATTCACTAACTATTTATTGCTTCAGTAATAATAAGTACCTCGGTAGACCTTATATCCAGTGCATTTACTGCCCATACGAAATCAGTATTATTGTTAATATTCATGAATAATGTTGGAATGTATTAATTGCCAAGTCTAGAGTACCCAGCATTGTTAGATCATGAGTATTTGATACGTTCGGAAATCATCGAAGGGACCACGGTCGCAAACGGATTCTCTCTCTACTATACTAACTGTTAACAGGTTTCTACAGAAATTACTGCCTGTACATAGGTCTTTTAAATTTTGGGTGTTTATTAAGCCTATCACTACCTCTATCCTATATTTTCCATAAACAAATAAATAATAATTGCTAAATTTAGTTAAAATCACGTTACAAAAATTAAAAAAGTGAAGTTTGGTGTGCAATTTGAATCTGAAAAAGCGCGGGAGAACAGCAAAACCTAGAAATATTTAAAATTATGGTAGCCACCCAGTGGCGGAAAGTGGAACTAAATTTGGAACTTCTGAATCTAGTTCTAGAAGTTGTCGTTAGGTGGTGTTACTTATCGATTTTGCATTTTCCCGCGCTTTTTGAAAGTGTCAGAATTTGTTTCAATTTTTGCCACTAAGCGGCTACCATAATTCTACACATTTCTCAATTTTGCATTTTTCCCGAATTTTTTTGAATTTCCAATTTTTATTCTCCCCTCTCTCTGTGATGTGTGAATAAGAGAGCACCATTTTCGGACTATTTCTATTCTTCAGTGTCGGCTTCACCTCTCCCATAAGAACGCGCAGTCTATTATTCGTATAAGTCTTTATAATATCACCGCGTTTTACCAGTAATGTTTATAGGTGCCAACAGTAATGGAAAAGTTAAAGGTGACAAACATGGAAGAATTAAACGCTTCGGTCAGCGGCGACAGATTAAAACAGTATCGTGAGAAAAGAAATTTTATTGGTAACGTAGGGACGACTCGACACGTATAAACGGTATGTATAAAAGTATAAAAAATAAATAGCGACGACGCTGCGACTCTGCAAGTCCTTAATGAGAGCGAATTTCATCGTAACGGTATTTCCCATGGCGCAGGGCGTCGGGAAGGCGATTATGAATGCAACGATAATAAACATCTCGCTAGCGGGCAAATAATGACAATAATAATAATCATTAAAATAATAATAATTGACGTTGCGCTTAATCTTACGGTAAATTTCTCCAGCATACAGCACACAACAATTGATTCTCTCTTTCGCGCGCGCGTACACGCAACCGTTTCTCTCGTTTATCCGAACAGCAATCATGTATTAAAACTAAATGGCGGAGATCAATTGCGATAATAGTATATAAGTAAACCAGATTCGCAAATTTTTTTCTCGTTCGCGATCACACGCAACACTTGTCTCGAGTATATCTTTTGTTTTCACATACTATATTTCACAGTTGTCTAATAATTTTTAAAAAATAATTTACATATTTATACGATGCGATCTCGGTGTTCCTCGCATAAATAAAAACGAAGGATGAATGATTTCGAGTTTTAAAAATATAAAGTATCGATAACCGTTGTTCCATGAATTCCGGTTCGTAACGTGTTCCTATAGGACATATATGTACAGGGTGTCCGGAAATTTTTACGGTCGAGACGCACAGTGACTGTTCTTCGTTGTGAAAATACGTCGGAAACCGTGGATTCAGATTGTTTTCCGTTCGAGACTTTGCCCACGAATGAAATCACGTTTCAAAAATCCCGCGTCGAATAATGGGTGTCGGGTCAGATGCGCGCGCATCCAACGAACCTTCGAATTTTCAAATCCCCATTTCCACGGAAACGAAGCATCGCGCGAATATAAATCATTCCACGATCTCGACGCGATTCCTAATAAAGAATATCAGCCTACGATCGTAAATTTCGCGGTTACCCTTCTCCTTGTGCGCAAGGTGGTCTCTCCGCTCGTCGAGCGTGCGACACGTTCGTTTAAACAATCCTATCAACTCGTTTGCGCGATTAAACCACACAATCCAACAATGCCGTACTTGAAACAAGCGTATCAGAGTCGCTTTCACGGAGACGGTTACGTCGAGTGGAACGTGCCCGGACCACAAAACGGTTCCCGTTCGCATGAGAATATCTCGCGTTTCGTTTTCTCCACGCTCAAAATAACACTGTCGTCTCGACGAACGGCGACCACTGATGATATGTCGTAACCGGACGCCATCGTAAACCGGTCAAAAAGTTTCGAATAACGGACAAAAAATAACGAAAGCTTCTCGATCAATCCTTGTGATAAACATTCGAATTTCGATCGATATAAGATAACCTAATATTTTCGTTCGACGATCAATGGATGTATACAATTCAACGTCAGTCGTTCTTCGTCGCTTTTCGCAGGGCACGTGTCGATGCTGTGGTTATTTTTCCTCATATTTCAACGAAATTCTTTTCCACGACGGTGGTCGAGTTGTGATCTATGATATAGTATAAACGGTCACCCGTAATTGACGGACTTGGAACTTTCGCGATTGAGGTTAATCACGCGCGGCAATATAACGGTTCGATCGTTCGAACCAATAATCGCTATGTGAACCACGGAATTATTACGATCAGAGTATTGCTTCCAATAAGTGGAACGATATGTCTGAAGACGTTTGCAGTGAACTCGATAGAATGGATTATAGATATTCCGTTCGAAACGCGATCCCCCTGAGTTGTTGGCAGAGTTGCCAGGAATAGCTACTCTGACCCATGAACTTGGCAAAATATTGTAGAGATCTGGGGGTCTTGTTTCGTTAGGGCACCAGAGAAGAAGTTATTCGCATCCATCATTTTGGGTCCAGCGGTTGGATAAGTCTACAGAGGGCCCAGGTTAAGGCACTATAGAGGTGAGTATGTGCATCCGCCATTTTGGGTCCTCTGGAGATAGAAAGCAATAAAAAGCGCCACCTGGACTCTCTGTAGACTTATTCATCCAATGGACTCAAAATGGTGGATGAAGATACTCATCTCTCTAGTGCCTTAGCGAGACAAGACCCCTAGATCTGTACAATCTTCGTCAAGGTCATGGTTCAGAGTACCTATCTCTGGCAACTGTGATTGTTGGGCTCATTTTTGTGCGTTACTTTAGTCTCTGTTAAAATTAGGGGCTTTGAGAAGAATGTGCGAGAATATGTGTATGGCAGTCTTCGTTCGCTACTGGCCACGACGAGCTCCGAACGCAAACAGGCATAATGTCAAACCGGAAGTGTGTGTTCCCCATTATTCACGGCGGCAAGGCAGTGGTAGGAATGAAGAATTCGTTAGAAACGAAATATCCATGGCTGATCCATGGTGTTCAAGGCTTCAACGTTGGTACCCGGCAACGTGGAAATCATGTACACCCTATCGCTTCCTATGATTCTTAATTACCGTTAATTGGGATAACTTTGACTCGATCGGAATAATATCACTTTTTATTTTGCAGCTCTGCAAATTATTAAGTTAAGTTGATTTTTACGTGAAAAGGTATTTCACGTAAAAATACCTGCAAAACAGTTGATCATTTTCTGACTTTGGGACAAGGTTAGGCCCGACTGACAATCAGTCAAAGTTACCGCAACTTGCGGTACCCTGAATAGTTCCTCCCCGTTTGTTCGATGACTTTACAATTGGAATCTCGTGTTACACAGTTAAAGAAAGGATACTCTCCTGGAACTTGTCGCAATTTCATATTTCAGTATATAAGGATTACTGTTCCCTCGTTATCTGTTCAACTCGGTCCCGCCGAGGTGCACTTATCGAGGGTTAGCTACATCTCTGTTCCTGGGATAGCAAACATATGTCGAGGTGACGTATGTACAATAAAGGAAGACACGTCGATATTTTGCAACAATCTACCGGGCTACCGTTGTAAATGTAGAACACGTGACATTTTTTAAATTCAATATACGCCACGGAACAATGTCCGTACTCCACTGGCTGTGCAGCCTATTTAGGGTATCAAGCCGCCACACCAGCCACCAGGAATGCATTCTCCGTTCATTTTCTCATTTCACGAACCATCACAGGCAACCGTCACTCTAGGCTCAACCGTTCGAACGTACACATCACCTTCTTCGTTTTCCGCGCACTCAACTCAGCATTCACCGAGAACTCTGTGTCTATCATTGCTTCTTCAATCTTATCCCGCGTGCACCGATTACCGTCGGTTCACCGATATCACTACCGAACCAGCTCGGTCGTTCCACAACCACCGTGCCAGTGTTCGATTTTCCATCGATCGTCGCGAAGATTCGAAGCTTCTCCTCCTACAAACTGGATGACAACATCGCTCCTCCCACAAGAGCCTCGATCATCCTAAATCCACTGATACCGTTTGGTCAGGTCCCGAACCCGACGCTCCTCCCCTGTGTATTCAAACATCTCCGTTTTGCTCGTCTCCTGTTCCCTGCCGATCCGTTGAACGTTCTCTCTCTCTCTCTCTCTCTCTCTCTCTCTCTCTCTCTCTCTCTCTCTTTTTCCCCACCACCAAAGAAAATTCGGTTGGAAAGGGACGATTGTCAAAAAGTGCTCAACCTCGTTCGAATCAGCTGGACGTGTTTCTGTGTGCGTCCCGCCCTCGAAGGGGGTGTGGCTTCGGGGACCACCTCCGCGAGGAATAGCCCCTCCCCCCGCCTGGAATGGGCGGGATTGCGATGCCGATTGGCCACTGACATCGCGTACACACATTGTGTCGTTGAACCCGTCCACTCTCCCCAGCAGTGAACGATCTCTCGTCAGCAGTATTCGACACTGTCGGTGTCGTTCGTTTATGATTCGTCGGGATCCTCTATCCCCGAGGACGTCATCGGTGGAGGACTTTTTAGGCCGGGACCTGAACCACTGGCCTGTGCACCGGCACCGAGATCACGAATATGTCCAGTTTCTCGCCGTTGGTCTTGTTCTCCACGTACTCCCCGTAGTTGACGGAATCGTACGGAGGTGGCGCGAATAGATGATAGGGCGGGGGCGGAGTCTCGGTGACCACTTGGCCGCTCCCACCATTGATCACGTCCGCCCGTTGGGCGTACGGGACCGTGAGGGGGCGTCCACCGCGACGGCAACACCATTCCGAGCAGCTGACTATCAGGAAGAACGCGACCAGTCCGCCGAACGAGCCGATGTACCAGACGATCGACCATGGGTCCAACGGATTTTGCCCGTCGCCGTCCACTGAAACAAACAGAAACCCGCCTATGAAGGATAAGGTGACGTTAATAAAGTCTGGGACAATTTGTTGCATTGGTATTTTAACATAGCTGTTATTGAATCGAGATACAGTAAATCAACAATGAGTGTTCGAAGGGACCTCGGCATTGAAAATTAATTATTTCATAAAGTAATGGCCATATGCGGCTGAAAGAAATATCATTGGCTCCAGAATTCCAAGCTCTGTCAGTGTGCTGAACCTAATTAAATAGTTAACGTTAAGCGGTGTTTACACTAGGTAACTTTTGGTCGGTCGACCGAGTCGACTAAAGTTTGCCGTTGGTTTAGTTGCCCGTTGGTCTACTTTTGGTTGAACAACCAGATAGTTTCAACTGTAGTTGACCGTGTAAACACCGTAAAATCGTAGTTGACGGACGACTGAAACAGAACGTTCACAGATTCATGACATCGCTCCGAGACGGACGAAAATATCTAAATTACCTTTGAATTCACAGACTTTAAATAAATTTATAGATCTCGATCAACAATAGGAATGTCTATGGAACAGTACAAGTGATACATACAAGAATTTAAATTTAAAAAAAAACCGCAATGGACTTAACAATAAGAGACATGGATTCAGAAGGATTAATCATTGCTAATGTAACAGACAAAATTAAACGGACAATTTACCGCCGATTATTAATTTACTCTAACCAACCAATGACGTTTTTTTCTCTTAATATTCTGACCAATGATTTCTTCTAACTCGCCTAGAAAATTCCCTGCATTTACCGACGTTACACGTATATCATTTTTTCCTAACACATTATTAACCATTTTAACCAATAAACAAGTTGGACGACGAAGCCTTCTATAGTGCAAACCTTTTAGTCGAACCGACTAGGTCGGCTGATCAAAAGTGGCCTAGTGTAAAAGCCGCTTTACTACTTGGGGGCCTCTTCTAGTCACTGCTAAAGATCCTTCGAGCACTCATCGAGGATTTACTGTAACGATCTCAGACTGTTGGCTGTTGGTGCAGGTTAAAATCACTTGATAAGAGTCTCGTCTCAAAGGCAAGCTATCCGAAACGAACGATGAATATTAATTGTGTATTTAGGTTTCGCGCCATCCCCCCTCTTCCCAGGATGACGTGACTCGTTAGATCCCCAGGTCATAAATACCTCGTTAATTCCCCGTCGAATCAATGCTGGAATTGAGTTCAGTCAATTACGAGCCAGCCGTACGCGCGCGTGGTTGCTCTCTTATGTAAATTACGCTCGGCGATGTGTGATCGAAGAACGAGAATACCGTTAATGAGCTCAACGAGAGTTAACCAACCGCACGGAAACTATAAATAACGGGGGCAATAAGCAACCGTTCCGACGTCGCCGCGAGATATGTCCTCTCTGTCTCTGTCTCCCCGTTACGATGACTCCGCTGGATCACGGTGGGTTCGGGGAACGGTTTCTTTTATCGCGAAATTTCAGTAACAATATTGACACGGATAATATTGGGACGAACAATATTGTTACAAATGCCACACGGAAGTTACATCGCTCGGCAGCGATCCGTTCACGTGAGAAACAGTTTGTTTAAACTGTGTTTCGATATCTTTTGTAGCTCACGAGTTACAAGTTAATAAGTAAAACGTACGCTTCGGATAGAAAGTGTGGTTACTCCTTTAAAATTTTAAAGTATCGCCAACCAAGTACGTCAAATTTCTTAAGGTGATCCCATAAACAATCGAGCAAAGTTACAGAAAAATCGGCGTGTGTCACTTCGCGAACATCCCTTTTTTTTTTAACACCCTGTATATCGAATAATTCACGTACACAAAACTGTACCGTCGAAGTGAACCTCGTCTGGGGCTTCGAGGGCAAATAAAAAGATGATCGAAGCAGGTGTAGTAGGGTACTTACTATGTTATTTTACTAAGATGTTACGCACAAGTGGAATCGGTTAAGTGACTGATCAGACGGACGATCTCGGGACGAACCAGGGAACGTTTCTGACGACGAAGACGGAATAAACATCGCGACGGAAAGTTTCCATGTTTCAGATGGAACGCACGGATCCCGCCTGCGCGACATTACCGATTCCAATAACGGGAACGATCGCGATTCGCCATTAATACGTGTGACACATATTTCAGTGCCACGAGGATGCATCCTGGGAAAAAGAGAGAGACAGAGACAGAAAGTGCTCCATTCGAAACGAAATCCCCCCCCCCCCCGCAGACGTTACGGTTTTATTATGCAAATATGTGTCTCGACGGAGACGTTAATGCAGTTATCGCGATGTCGCGTACAGGGTGTCCAAAAAGGTCGGCGCCAAACTAGTGCCATGTGTTAACGAGGCCATGTAGATGAAAAAAGTTACGTCCGAAAATGCTTTGGTGAAAAGTTATTGGCGTTCGAAAATTACGGGGGGTGTTTATGGAAATACGGTGGAAACAGAAGACCAGCTTTGGGAACGTATTCGAAATGCATTTCGGTACTACCCTAGTAGCACAAAATATTGAATACATATTTACCCAACATTAAAAAGAGATTCAATCTAATAAGTACAAAAGATTCGTTTCTTTTTCGTTTCCTTGTTATTTCATTACTTTTTTATTGGTCCGTACAAAAATTTTGTCTGTGGTTTTGGACAAAATTAAACCTACTAGAGGGCACGAAACAGAACAATTATCGATAATTTGATCACCGATCTGTCCGTAATTGGGTCGTTTAGCCGTGGATAATAAAAAAAAAAAAAAGAAATGATGAATAAAATTGCCTACCGGAAGCCGCGTCCTTCCCCTTGCTCTGCAGACTCTCCTCCTTCTCGTTCGCCTCGGACTCGATCTCGATCACGTAGACCGTCTGCCCGTCTTCCGGTCGGTCCTCGACGATCGATCCGTCCCTGCGGCCACTCCCTTTGTAAATCGCCTCCTCGTTGCCCTCCTGTTTCCGTTGAGCGCCGGCCACATCGTACGTCGACACCCCGTGGACTAAAAAAAAAAAAGAAACAACGCGTGTCACCGACAGGTACGAAAAGAAAGTCACTAGACTGCATCAACTACTGATCTTTATACAGGGTGTCCCAAAAAGATGGGACAATCCGCGACATGCATATTCCTCGTGCAAATACAAATCGAAAAGTCCTTTACCGTTTTGTAACCTGAAGCTCCATTTCCGAGATATTACCAGTTGAACGAACTCCAATCAGCTGAGCGGTGGGTTACACGTACGCGCAGACGCAGTCAAGAAGTGACCGCTCAGCTGATTGGAGTTCGTTTAACTGCTGATATTTCGGAAATGGAGCTTCAGATTACAAAACGGTAAAGGACTTTTTGATTTGTATTTGAATGAGGAATATGCATGTTGCAGATCAGTGTAGAAATCAAATTATGAGTGTAGATATTAAATTTTCAATCTAACCGTTTTTTTATATCTTTAATAGTTTTCAAGAAATACAGAAAAAGTATGGAAAGACATATTAACATTTAAAGGGTAGTTTCACCCTGAAGAACCGAGTATCAGAAAAGACGAACAATTGATCGATGCTTCTATCGAGGTCCCCTAGAAACTTGCGGAGTTCTAACAAAAAATCGGAATTTTCAGGGTATCGAAGTTCCTTCGTTTGCAATCGTGGCCCATATCGCGTGGAATCTATTTTTCTCGAAAGTTACTTTCCTTTTTAACTTGGATGGAATTTTTTTTTTAGTACGTCACAGGGTATCATTTGAGAACGGAATCTGACTGTATCATCGGCGCCGGAGGTGCCCTAATTCACCGACGAGCGCACGTTCCTTTTATCTTGTCATCTGCAAACACACATTGACGACCGATTTTCATCAGAGCGTCTACACACGGTTTCTGTGTGTATTTGCGTGTACGGCCGTGTTCACGATCGGGCAAATAAAAAATTTGCATTATCGTTACGCTAATATTACAGTCTTCCCCCCATAAATCCTATCCTTATACACTGTGTCGTATAACTATAAAATCACCCGAAAATATATATTATATATCTGAATCTGGTCATCTTTATGAGATCTTAAGCTACGTCTACACTGTATAGCAAAATAGTGTCATACAACAAATTGTTATAAAACTTTGCTTACAAAATATGTTTTTATAATTTTTTACAAGATTATACCTTCTGGAAGAGTTTGTAACAAGTTTGTATAACATTTCGCGTCTCATTATTTAATAATGGCGTCGCACTTTATAGATAACATAAGACTTGTTATATAACACGTAAAATATAGTATGTAACATCATGTTATAGAACATTTTTTTTTCTGCTTTTCTAACAAGCTTTATAACTTTGCTATATAACGTGTCATTCTATGTAGTGTAGACGCAGCTTAATCCTCCCACGCCATTACCCAAAACTGTTTATTCACATTTCTTTTGATCTACTTGTCAGTATCCATCCGTACCCACTCATACTGGTCACATATATTCCATGTCCATGTGCCTCTTCCCGTTCACAGTTTCGCTGACGAAAGTGATATTATTCGTAAAGTAATAATTAAAACCGCCGTTGTTCAGCTGTTCCGTTAGTGATTCTGTTGCGCGTCTCGCGTAATTACCTTGTCTGGTGATGGTGATAAGTCTTATCGCGAGGACGTTTCGGTAGTTGCGACGGTAAATTTGTAAAGCTTCGTCTACACTATATAGCGAAACAGTGTTATATAACAAATTGTTGTACAACCTTTCTATACAACATGTGTTTTATAACTTGTTACAAGATTATACCTTCTGAACGAGTCTGTAACAAGTTTGTATAAAATTTCGCGTCTTATTATTTAATAATGGCGTCATACTTCATGGATAACATATAATTTGCTATATAACACGAAAAATGTTATATCACATTTGTCTTTCTGCTTTTTTAACAAGTTTTATAGTGTAAACGCAGCTTAACACTGCAAAACGGAATAATCAGCCTCCTCGAATGCTTCTGATATCGAATTTTAGGCTCCCTTGACACGTTTAATACTATAAGTGTCCGATGATTTATCGGACTGGAGTGTACATACTTCGAATTTTCAAAGAGGAATCAAAGGATCGACACAGTTATGGTTCTTCTTCGATGTGCCTGATCTTCCTGATATTCTGAAACCTTTTCTAAGTCTTTCTGATTTGAATAAAATTTGATAGCTCAGAGTCTTCAAGGTCTTTCGAAGGTCATCGATGGTTTTTTAAATTGCACGATATATTTCTAACTTCATAATGTAGTAGCCAATGTCAAGACAAGGTTTAACGACGTGGTATATTATGACCTCCGAGTGACATTTCAATGAAAAAGAAATGAAAAACTGGTTTACAATAATGCTGTGAATACTTCAGTTTCTTCAAATTTCAAAAAGTTGTAGGATCTAAGTGGAAGAAGAAATAATGACGAAAAAAATATTAAACAAATTTTCGAGATCCTCTTTCATAACTGCAACATGAATAGCTTAAAGCACAAATTCACATAAATAATCGCATACAGGTTGGACACCAATGGGAGAAAGAAAAATGAAAACACTCGTGGAATCGCATCCGTTGTTCTCTATACGCACGTCGCCAGACCCGATCGGAACGCCAATAGAGAGGCACAAATGTGTATATTCCGGAATTTTATCCGAATCCTCGCGTAAGGGAATTATATGTGGAGCATCTTGGAGCGTTATTTATTCGTCGTCGGTTCAATTTGTCCCGACATAGGCCCTCTCGTCGACCGTAGCGGGGACTACGTTGAGTCGAGTAGACGGTAACGAGCAATTTATCGTGGTTTCGGTTTAATGCTCGAAGACAGCCAGCAAACGAAAGTCGTGCGCGTCGAGTGCCGTTCGGTGGAGAGTATCATGGGTTACTTCATTACCGTTCGTTGGAATAATAATAAACCGCACCCATTTCACGGTATACAGGGTGTCTCGGTTGTATCGCGATGCAACGGAGAAAACGATTTCTGCACGGTGATATAGATCCGTGAACATGGAACGAAAGTTTATTCACAGCGTTTACGAATAATTAATTCAAACTGTATTGTAAATAAATTGTTCGATGACAAAAATATATTCTATGACGCATTAGTTTCTTCTTCATATACGGTTAAACGTTTACTAATGGGTGCCTTAAACATCCAGCTACAATGTCCGATATTAACCCTCCGTGACTCCCCTGGATCCTTTATGGCAAAGCAAACTTTCAGCGATGAAATACAGTAAATTCTCTATGAGTGTTTGAAGGCTCCTCGGCACTGAATATTAAATATCCCATAAACTAATAGACACATGTGGCTGAAACAAATATCATTGGCTTCAGACATCTAAGCTCTATCGCAGTGCTGAAACTCAATACCGAAAAGACTTCGAACACTCATCGAGGATTTACTGTATCTCCGAAACGAAGGGACTATTATTAAAAAAAAAATCTTTTAATATTCAACTTTGGAAATTTCACTCTGTCTTTCCAGGATCACGTTTGTCTACCAAGGAACGATCCTTCCGTTGGTCTTCGTTGATAAACCGAGACACCTGGTACACATCGGAATTATTTATGCGGCATAACGATGCCAGTTTTCCTATCGCTCGAAAAGGAAACGACCTACTTCTTAATGCATTTCTGTTTCGCCAGTTGTTAAGAAATACCGGTGCACTCCATGTGCCCGGCTCTATATCTTCTTGAAAAACTTACCCCGCCGGAAAGTTCGCAATTCCAGGACGGGGAGAGAGAGGGGAGAGGTGTGCTTAAAAGTCTTCTCGTTCCGGCTAGCCCAGAAAATAGATACCTGGCGTTTCCCCTTGTTTTCCAAGTTTTGTTTTTCACTCGTCGCACCTTTTCTGATCTGTTTGAGATTCTACACCCGTTTTCTGGTCTGCCTGAAGGGTCATCCCCATTTTCTGTCGTATAAGAATCCTATTTCTGCATAATGATCTGCTAAATTTTGCTATTATTCTTTGCTAATCCAACAGATTCTCTGCTCCCCGATACAACGCCTCGTACTATCACATCTTGATTCTTTTTTTCAACAATATGTACCCGAGAAGACGAAGTGAACTTAGAAACGTAATTATGCTGAACGAAAAACGCGAGATACAACCGTAGCAATGAATTGTTCTCACACGGAAAAAGCAACACGAGAACGTTTCCTGTGGATATACCTTTCCCACGTGTTTATTTCGTTTGTCGAGTTAACTTATTTGTTTTTGATCGGAATGGATTGAACACAAGAAACGCATAAAGGTTATTCATACTCCGCCAAATAATCTAATCGATCCTGCTTGCGTCACGGCGCGGCCCAATAAATTCATTCTCTCCTCAGTCTCCTTGGAGAAACGAAAAAAAAAAAAAAGTTCACGGCGATCGTTACCGCGATCGCTAAACGCGAAATAACCTTCGGAGCGAGATCTGTTACGTAAACCGTCCGGGGAACACGAGACAATAGACAGAGAACAGCGTCTCGACGTGTTTTACCATTCATATATGTCCGCCCTGGTAATCACAGTGGTCCAGAATGAAAAGTTTACCAGCTCAAACGGTCAAAAACAAATTTCTTTTATGTTCCGAAAAAATTCACATTAATTTATTCTTGAAAGTTCCTGCGGTATTGTCCATGAATAATTTCGGAACTGCACTTTAAAATATTAATTAGAGGCATTAATTAATATTAACACACGGATCTAACGCAAAAGTATATTTCGAAGAAATTTATTTCGGCCACCATTTCAGGAAAAGGGACGTAAACGGATTTCAAATTAATAGGAATAATTTAATTAAAACATTATTTAAGTTTGTCTAAAGATATTTATTATAGTCCTTTGATAACGCGAGATCGTTTGCGGGCAAGATCGTGAAACGATAGCGAGTGACCATCGAGATGATAATCATCGCGAAACGGTTTATCGGGGACCGATTTAAAAAAAAAAAAATATGTTTTTCACAGATAAATCGCATTTGAGAAAGAATGTATATCGGTCGGAAGGATTTTCGGCGAGCTTTATCGGACTGATAA